CAGCTACATGTTCCTCAGGGGCTGGATGGCTCATTAGTACTACAAACCCTTCAAGAAATGAACTCATTCAGACTAAGTTAATTATAAAATCAAGTGACTGCCCAAGAAGGGGACTTGTTCTAATTGTGTGTCTGTTCGTTCTTATTCAGGTCACCTTGTATAGCCCCATCTCCTCTTCAGTGCTCTTGTTCCCTGAGTCTATTCTGGATTGAAGATGCTGGGGCTGCTGTTTTCAGAGGTTCGAGTTTGGTTAAGGTCAATGTGGATTATTGATTAGTGTACTGGTGTAGGACTAAGTTCAACACCTGCTCAGGTGAAAACTCCCTGTATGACTTCAGCATGTCATCTTGGAGATGAATTTACTATTAGTTTTATATGGGGCTTAGACACCTATATTCCAGTGTGAGATCCTCAAAGCATTTCCTAACCTTAGATCTCTGTTTTGTGCCATTTCCCTGGTCCACTTGAAATCCCACTGTGGTCATGTCCAGAATCACATTGGTCTCATCACCACTGATGAGCCATTCACCTTCCCAGTTTCTGATGCTGTCTGCAGAGCAGGTTTGGCCCAGTCTGTGCTTCCCCAAAGATCTGTTCCATTACATGTGCATCAGCAGCTTGGGAAACCCAGTACTTTTCCCCTATACTCCTATATGGCTGCTGAGTAGCTGAGGCAGTGTTAGGGCAGTGCATGTGAGACCCTCCTTCACTTCCCTACACATCTTCTGTAGTAGCAGAGCACTGTATTTGTAGCACAGTTAGATAAGCAAAATTATCCACCTGTATCTTCAGGGCTCTGAAAAGAGAAAGGTAAGGAGTAAACCTATTTAATTTGTTAGTGTATTCTGTTCCCAGGAGTTAATTATCTGCACATCATTGCTGCCTCATGTTCTGTGGCTGTGTCTGCAGAACTGAATGCATGTGCATATCCATGCATGTGCTTGTGGCATGTAGGAAAACACCCAGTAGTGTCCAAGACAGTGTGCTGCTGAAGCTGGAAACTGAGTTCTCTGTAGTTGCCTATGTTTATTTTCTGTGTACCATGATGGCACTAGGAGACCTGGAACTCATTGGAGATGCTGCTAGTAGTTATTCACAATTAATGCATGTTAACAGAGGATGCAACACAGATACTCTTTCCTAACAGGGCAGTGATTGGTAAACTTCTGTTAAAACAGTTGACAATGTTTTCCTGAATAGATATTATAAATGTTATTTAAAAAAAAAAAAAAAAAAAAAAAAAAAAAAAAAAAAAAAGAATGAATGTTCCTGGAAGATGATACTACTTATTGGTCCCATACCTCTTATTCATTTGTATTTAGTTATAAAAAGAAATATTAAATGTCGTTTGCTCTTAGTATAAAATGGGAGATTGCCACTGATAAGCATGCTTAAAATAAGCATGACTGATTATTTTCATTCCCTAACTATTACAGACTACAGAGGCAACAATGAATGCAGCCAGTTCAGCTGATGGCTAAATCATAGCAACAGCCTCAATTGATTTTTTTCCAGGTCTAAAAAAACTAATAAAGACTTTGTGTAGTCTCCTAGATACAAGAGGGTTAAGGTTAGTATCTTAAATCTGCTCCTTATGCTCAAATAAACTCTGTGCCTACAGATACCTGCTACTACCTCTCTCATGTGAATTCTATCTGTAAAAAGTAATACTGCATTGAGATGGCTGAAATAGTCACATTCCTTCTTACTATACTTAAGCTGTTAGCTGTTCTGTACTGTACCACATCATACCATTTACTTACAGTCCATTCAAGCATGCTTCACAGAGTTTATCATTACTATTTCTTTGTTATTTCTAGTGAGGCTAATGTGTTAATCTAGGAAGTACTGCAGAGTAGGAAGTCTAAAACCAAGCTACTTCTATTCCAAAAATAATTTCAAGTATAAGCAAGTTTTTTACTGCATTCAACCTGTTTGTAGAATAAGGGACTGTTTTTCATCCTTGTAAACCATTGCTTGAAAATTGGCAAAGTGGATTTTCTTAATGAATGATTTTTAAAATGTATACTGTACACTTGTTCCATGGCTCAGACCTTGAGAAATCATATGGGCTTATGATTCATTTTATGTATATATTAATCCTAAACTGCTTTGCATACTGTTATTCTAACCAATTATGGTTTCTGGAAAACTAATCAGTGAAAAAAGTTTTAAAGCATAAAGCCTCATATTGTCCTCACTTTAAGTTTAACTTTCACAAATCTGGTATTAATATATTCATTTTGCAGTGCAAAGAGTTGAGCATGTGTGGGATCAGGGTTTTGTTTGCAGATATATTGCATGTTGCTCTGAATACCAGTAAAACACTTCCTTTTGTTTCATCCAAATAATTCCCTGTTTCCTTCCCGCAAATAGTAAGATACTCCTTATTTAGAACCTCTCTGCCCTACTGTAACTCACCCAGACACAGAATGCAACTACACTGTCATGAAGCTTTCCCTTGCAATGCATGGAGAATATATTAATCCTATTAAGACCCATATTTCATAGACAATTTCTGAGGGAGTGGAACTATATTAGCAGTTTGTAAATTTAATAGCAGACCTCTTGGTCTGCTAGTGAAGATTAGCTTGTTTGGTGTAAAGTTATGCGTGCTTAAGTGCATTGTATCATGTGCCATGTGGACTTCTGTGGAAATGTGGGTTATTATGAAAGGACACTTCACAATTTGCAATGGTATAGCTGTATTTCTGATGATTGGAGTTGAGTATGCACTGAATTTTAAACAGAACAGGTGTCACTAGATGTTTTCATCAGCTTTAAAAAGTATTAACCATGGTGCCAGCCAGCTTCTGCTATCTTTGAATCCTGTGAGACCTCCCAAAACACAGGCCCTGGGTCATGTGTATGTTATGCTCCTGAAGCAGTCCATGTATTTGCCATTACTTTAAACAAAACTCTCTGCTTGACTCTGATTCCTGTGAGTTTAATGTACATGCTGAGGAGACCAGGACTTTCCAGTGTTTTTCAGCTGTGTCACTGCTGTTTATGCAGTGTGTTTCAGAAAGTGGCTACATTGGTCTTTAGGACATCAGGAACTTTTCTACAATCTGTCTTGAAATTAAAGAAATGCATGGTACATGTAATTACTTTTAGACTATCAACTAGATGAATCAATGCTCATTACTGCAGGCATAACACAGGACAAGTGCATTTTACATGTGGTCACTTTGCAATAAAATGGGATCAAGACAAATATGTATGAATGATGTATTTGCCCACTAGCTGCCAACGGGAAGACTTTGTATTGCTATAGTCTGGTTAAAGGGCACAGTAATTCATGAGCTATATTCTGATATTCAAAGGACAAAAATTTTTATCTGTGACTTTAAGGGCAAAACTTAGCCATGTTTTTAAGAGCTAAAGTGCAAGTTTCATTTTCTGTATGTCATCATGGCTTTTTGACTGATAAAAATCTTTCTACTGCCAGAGGTTGCATCTCGAGCCTAATAAAATTAGGCTGTATTTGCATTTGTGGTATTCTACAAAAAAATACTTATTCATATACTTGTTCATATTATTCTTACGTCACTGTTTAACAAAACCCATCATATTTTGCCAATAGGTAGAAAAAAATGTGCAGTGCTCTATTTTCTGTGTACTATAAGTAAATTTTTTAAATATTATGGCTAGTAATGTGTACTATAGTTGCTAATGAACAAAGTATTTTCTATCATATGGGATGAATACTATAGCACTATTTAACTGAGTATTTTTTACAAATGGTTGGTAGGGTCTCATCAATTTAAGATCTAAAAAAAATAAAATCACTAATTCAATTTCATCACAGATTTCTATCATATAATCTCTATGCTGCTGCTGGATTTCTTGTTTACTAATCATTTATTGGAAGGACAACAAAACAATTCTGACTAAGGCCTAATGAGTGTTGTCTGGCAGGAAAAGACATTATACGAAAGTATAAATCTCAAGCTTACTCTATTTATGACTTCCTGAGTTCAAAGAAGTGACTTTGTAAAGCAAACGGAGAAAGTGAGGGAAGGTCATAAAAGCTACATGGATGTTGATGCTCATAAATTGTAAACCCAGAGTACCCATGGTGCTAAGCAACAACAATTTCCATTGAAATGAATACTGGCCTGAAAATCGGGCCAGAATTTAATGAATTAGAAATTTGAAAAGAATGGACTCTAAAAGCAATGTCAGGTGATCTTGTAGGAAGACACACAGGTCAAAGTAGAAGAAATCCTTAAAGGTCCTTAGGATGTGATGTCTTAATTTACGATAAGCTCTCTTATATTGTCATGTTTCATATCTGTGTGTACACTGCACTTGCAAATAGCAAACCTCTGGTGTAGAGCCTGACTGCTGACACAACATCATTTCCAACAGCTTCTGGTGATTATATTATACATTTGACATACAACAACATGCCAGGCAGGTAGCATATGCTGCTATTGCACTCTTTCCTTTTGTGTGTAAAGGTACTAAACATAACCTGATTATAGCACAACCTATGGTCATCTCTAGTACCTTAGTTTACTTTCTGTCAAGGCAGATAACCCAGGTCAGAAATTTAGCAATTATTTAAACTCAGTCAAAGCTTTTCTGAGGTTCAGTAATTTTTCAATAAGTGTCCCACATCAGTTTTCATCTCAGCAGTCTCGGTTACTTTCAGGTTGGGCTTCTGGTTGTGTGTCTGGTCAAGGTTCAGGACAGTATGCCAAGTAAGACCCAGTTTCCTGTGAAACCTGGGAAGTTAGCGAAGATGAATGGAGTTCTGGCATCAGAAGATTCCAATGTACTATGTTGAATTTTTGATACTTAGCCTGTCATCTCCTCCTTGGTTGGCTGTGCTGCACCATTGTCTGTTCTTTGGAATAATGTATCAAGCTATTAATCCTTCATATTTCAATGGCTCTTATCATACTGGATAACTTATTTTCTCTTGATAAGATTTAGTTCTCAACTAACTTTTATGTACTTTATGCCATTTTACAGAAGCAGGCACAGAGAAGTGAAATAACACAGGCAATATTACTTTATTTGTTATTATTAAAGTCCCTAAAGCGTGCCACTTATATCACAGCAATAAGTAGTTTTCTTGATCTGAAAATCTTACCATCTTCTTACAACACATCACAACAATCAGGATTATTAAAAGCTTGAGGAAAAAAAAAAAAAACCAACAACAAAAAAAACCAACAAAACCAACCAACCAACCAAACAACAACAACAACAAAAAAATAAAACCCAGAAACCTAGGTAACATCTTAGAATTGTATGAACTCATGATTTGCACAACTCCTGCATATTTCCCCGACATTGTATTTGTAACTCAGTAGCAGAACTTTGTAAAGAGCAGACTCAAAAACATCACTGTATACAATGAAAACAAAAATGCTCGATACATCTTATCCATTTGTAAATAACAAATAAGGTTCATATCTAAGAAGTGAGCTATTCTGGTTTGGTTACCCTCTGGTATCAGAGAGACATAGCCCACCCTGGTTGCATTAAAGCCTCAAAGTGACAAACAAAAAAGCTCTTTCAACCATGCAGGTATAATTGCACCCAGCTTTGTACCTTTGCCTTCAAAGAGAACAAGGAACAGTTGCTAGAGGAGTTCTTAAAAACTAGCATCATAATATCCTCTACTGCATTTGTGAACAGCTGCATAAGCCTTGATATTCACACAGAATGAAGAGGTGGTGATAAAAGCACCTTTCTTGTTATAGATATTTGTGCCAGCAGGGTAACTAGTATGAAAATAAAGATTAGGGGTTACACATGGCATAGATGCTTAATCCTTTGGAATTTAGGTTGGTTTTTTGTTTTGGTGTTTTGGTTTGGTTTGTTTTTTTGGGTTTTGTTTTTTGTTTTTTTGTTTTTTTGTTTTTTTTTTTTTATGAGTTTACTCTAAAGTTTGTTTAGTTACCTAGGGAATTTTAGAGGATGAAAAACATGTACCTCAGAATGGGATGTAAGTAAATGGACAGGCAGCATCTTGTTGGGAGTTTTGAGGATCTGCATGTTTTCAGTTAGATGTATGGGTGCGGTTTGGTAGCTTTTAGTGTTTAGATCCTTTAGTTTATCTAGTCCAAAGTCTGTTAGCAATAAACAGTACTTGACTTCAAATGTGACACTTCCCTTAATCACTAGAGGAAGTTATATCCTCTTATGTCTGTCTGGGTTACTGTGAAGTTGGATCTGCTTGCTTTACATATTTACTTGTAATCATGGATACAAATGATCACACAAATTACAGTTAAACAGTCAGACCCCACTGGTATTTCTACCCTTTGCAGGAAGAACTGGGACCTGATGCACAATGCCAATGCATATCTCTAGTGGCAGGTCTCTGACATACTGTAAGTGCTCTATCAAAAAGTTTTCACTTACAACTAGCAACAAAGATGTTCATGGAAGTACAAATTCTAAAGGTATTTGTGTTTCCATTTACGATACTGGTGCTTGGAAAGTTGTATACGTAAGATCATCAGATAATCTTCTATGTTCATGTTTAACAGAGTATTTTTATGATAGCTTGACACACATCTTAATTAAATGTTGGAATTATAACAAGTGCAGGAAACAAGCAGAATTACTCAAGGCTAATTGGATGAAATTGATCCTAACTACAAAAACACTACAAAGTTTAAGCAGTATTTAAGTCCTCAAATAATACAACACAGTTTCAGTATAAATCAATTTGATGAGGAATTACTGTATTTTGTACTACTCAGCATCGCATGGTTGTATCAGCTTTAGTTTCAGCTACAGTAACAAGTTTCAAGCTGCATTTAAGATAAAATGAGTCCTCTTTTTCTGTTTCTAACAGATTCAATATCCAGTCTAGAAATTACATTGCATGCAAATCAAGAGAAACAACTTCACATCTTACTGTGGCAAATAACAAAAAAAGAAAGCAGAGGTCCATTTGAAAGAAGTAAAAATGTCTTGCCAGATAATTGAGGAAGATTCAAAAGGTAATTGCATGTGAACTCTTACTGTGATATACAGATTCTGCCCAGAATTAGAAGGGTGACTGCATCAAAACAACTTCTGCCTTAAGACTTTGCACATAAGAATTCGAGTCCAAGCTTAAATTTTGCCACCAATTTCTGTTTACCCAGCTCATGGCAAGGGATTAACTCACATTTTTGCCAGCTGAGGATACGTTTTCATGCTTGTTGATAGCTCTTGCTACCTAATAGCATGAAGTTTTGTTCTTGTCTTTAAATACTCTGTCCAACATCCATATTGCCTGTCAGATCACAACATGGGAAGAATTTTTTCATCACCTAACTATTTACCAATTTGTCTAATCAGAGAGCTTCCAGCTAAGGGATTTCTAGCTGTCGGTGTAACTATACTTCAGCTATGCTTCAACATAACTTTACTTCAACTCAACTATGACTAATGGCTGCTTATCATAGCATAATTCAGATTGGAAATTACCTCAGATGGTCACCTAGTCCAGTCTTCTGCTAAGGTCAGTTTAACAACCTGCTACAAAATATGCTTCCATATTTCTTTGTCATTGACCTGGTAGTTCTCCTTTTTACACTTGCTGTCTTTTGTGTTTTTCAATCCATTGCTCACTATAGGCTTTTTGGGCATAGCTAATTCTTGGTTTCTCACTAGTCACTGAGCAATGTCTCTGGCTCCAGAGGTTAAAAATGAGTTTATGGTTTGTAGGTTTTGTGGACAAAGACTAAAGATACTGCAGATGTGAAAAGACGTGACCCTCACTTCAGCAGAGCAATTGACAATACTACCTATTTACATGTACCGTGGCTTCAACCTGACCTGGATTCCATGTGTGTTTTCATTGACCTTCTACTGATTGGATGAAATTTCAGCTCCATCTCTGTTGCTGATGACAGCAAGTGGGACTGGTATCTGACATCTGGTTTTCTTTTAACGAGAAACTGAAAGCCTCCATGCATATGCTTATTTCTTTGGGAGAGTACCCACTCTGAAAAGACATGGTTTCTACAACATGTTTTTTTTTGTCTGTTCTGACCTTGGGAATGAGATACTTTGCAATTAAAGTACCAAGGAACTTCTGAAGCAGAAGTGACATCTTCAAGTGGTGTGGAACAACTCCAGTAATCCAGCTGTCTAGTACCACCATGGCATGCAGTTTTAGCATTGCAGAGCTTTGTGACTGATAGCAGCAGGAATTACAAAGTCAACCAGACTCATTTCCATGTAGATCTACAACTGTTTTTCGTTTGCTTAAAAATAATGCTCAGCACCTTCTCAATGTGTTTTAAGAGTTTAATCCCTTGAGTAACATTTTCATTTGCCACCATCCTTCAATAAGTAACTGATGTCTTTACATACCAAGGTCGTTGTTCTGTGTTCCTACTTGCAGAGGCAATGGCTATTCCGAAGCGTATATGACAGAGAGAGGTTTCATACAAGCATCCAGTTGTTTGATGTGAACTAGATCTGCTGGAAGATTACTGTTACCTAATGGTCTGTGAGAGTTAGTAAAGCACAAAAATGTATGTATTTACATATCTGTGTTCCACTGGTGTGTCAGCTGTGCATAAAAATCTTACTAATACTGAAAAAGAGTCTTCTCTAATACAACTTTTAGCAGCCTGCAGTGCTGAAACTGGAAGTCTGGGTTTCTACTACAGCCATGGTAGCGATGTGATCTTAGCTGATGAAACCCATGTCAGTCTATGTGCATCCACCACTTAATTATTGATTTGTTAGAGCAGATGTGTATCCATCAGCCCAGTCTCAATGTCTGTACCATCTCAATGACATGAACAACTTGTGTACCATAGGAGCTACTATATACATTTACAACATTCCTTTGCCTGTTCTTCCAAAAATCAGGCAGCAATGGGTTCCTGTTCACATCCCAGCTAGGGAATCACCAGTTGCTTTTTATACCAACAGCTAATAATTTGTGTGTGGTGTCAGTGCACCCCTCTTCTAGCTAAATAGAATTATGTCTGCAGTTCAACACCAGTGACCCTTTGGAAATTTCAGTCTGCATGGTGGATAAAGGCAAATGATTATATTCTTCCATTGATGCAGTTACTGAATTATGCTGGCAGCTCAGAATCAGTGACTTTACTTCTTTTTTGAAGTTGCTGTTTAGGAAACCATAGATAACAGGGTTGACACAGGTGGAAGCCATAGCTACCAGGTGGCACAATGAGAAGATCAGATTATGGTAGCAAGGTGAAATGATTTTGTAATTCCAGTCCACAATGGTGTTGAAAACATGCAGTGGTAACCAGCAAACAGCAAAAGCAGCAACCATGGATGCTAACAAAATATTTATCCTTCTCAGCTGAAGTGCTCGACTGCTATATTCACTCTTCTCAAACATGTCCTTTCTCTTTTGTAGACGTAAGTAGATACGCAGGTAGCAAAGTATAATGAAGAACAGTGGGATGCAATATTGCAAGAGCAGTAAAGTGGTAGTGTAGATAAGTCTGTGTTGCTCAGAAGGCCATGAGTCAATGCATATGGCCTTGTCAGTGGAAAAATTCATGATGTGTGAGAGCTGCTCATACAAATCATTAGACAAGATGGATGTGGTCAAAAAGGGCAGAGACATGAGACATGCTAAAGTCCAAATTACTCCAATTCCTAAATAGGCTTGGGAGATACTTGGCCTCCAGCCAGTAGGGTTTATGATGAGCTGGTGTCTTTCCAGAGCAATCAGGACAAGGGAAAGAATTGACACAGTCACAGATGTGCACTGAGTGAAAGAGGTCATTTTGCACATGACTTCCCCAAATATCCAGTAGTCCATCATGGTGTAAACAATGGTGAAAGGTAGACAGACAAGACACATAAACAAGTCTGAAATTATTAAGTTGGAAATTAGAATGTTGGTGACATTGGCCTTTTCCTTCTGCTTCGCAATGACAGCAATCAGACAGATGTTTCCGACAATGCCGAGGACAGTCTCCAAGCTGTAAGAGGTGGCCAGAAAGACAGTAAGGTCAGTGATGTTCCTGCACTGATTAGAAATGTGCACAGGGAAGCTTCTGTTTGAGCTCCAGTTCTTACTGTTCAGGAAAGGAAAACCATCATTAATAGCCCTTGTCTTATTCATCCTGAACCCCAAAATATTTATCCAAAAAGGTGATAGTCAAACAGAATCTGGGTCTTCTAGAGCCAGCCTAAAAAAAAGGTTTGATCTGTTCTGTTTGGCTGTGGAAGATCTGGGTATATCTGCAAAACAAAGGAAAAAAAAATATGCTTAGTTATGCTACAAGAAATAAGTCAGAAGGCTAGAGGGGGAGACACGTAACTAAATGCCAGGGATTATGTGTATATTCTGCAGCTCCCTTTTATATAGTTTATTAGATCATAAAATGGAACCCTTTGCTAAAATGTGGTATGGATGTCTGTGCAACTCTATTGAATTATGTCTGTGTTTGCTTATTGTAAGGTTGTCCCATGGATTTAGGAACATCTTAATTACTTAACTCAGTTTAGTATCTTGAACATCACTAATGCAGTAGAGTGTTGATTCAAGAAAGTTGGATCAAAACACACCTAGATGTAAAAATTGTTTGTAATTCTGGTTTTGCAAGGTTCTGATCCAAAACTGAGCAGAAGACACATTGTGGGGCTGCATTTACCTTCAATTGAGTTGAACATCAGTGTGAAAAATAGGTCATATTAGGTGCATAAAGCCAACACTGCAATATTTTATGTGAGTTAATCTGTGAAATGCATTTGTGATTGCAGCCAGAACCCACACTTGCTTCAGACAATCACCATGCAAAAAATCAGGCTCGTATCTTCAGGAGGATGGGACAATTTTGAAAAAGTCTAAAATAATTCAAAATCATTTCAACATTTTTCAGCTTCTATGCAGCTGTGATAGGTCATGGGAACTGCAGGCCAAATGTCCTGCTTCCCCATTCTGGATGAACTCCAGTGCCCATTAAGCACTGATATCTCCCTCTGGGTCACTAATGCATGCATCACAGGGTTTATCAGAAATATAGTCCAGTCTCCTGGTTTTGGCTTTAAGAGTGGGTGATTTTGACAAATCTCTTAATTTGACAAGTCCCTTAATTCCTTATGAGAAGCTTCTTATCGATTCTCGCTCAGCATAATTTTGTTTGTTTGTTTGTTTTTTAACCAAGAGAATTCAAGAGTTGTAATAGTATGTGATGCCTTCTGGATACTGTTCCTGCACAGGCAGATGGGTCTGCTTCTTAAACACTGCTGTAAGCCCAGAGCTGGGATTTTCAATGGGATCCAAGGTAGCTGAACGCACAGAGTTAATTGGGGCTGCACACTTTTAGAAATCTCAGCCATAGGACTGCCTGAACTCTACCAGATGGCTCCTGGGAGACTGTTGTGATTTGCCATAGAAGAGCCTGCTTTGTAATCCTGACCCTAGAGGCCAAATCCTCTATGTCCAGGAATCAAATAAAAAAAAAAAATCTGATTCTGCTGGAAGTTCTCCTCAGGCCAGAGGCAGTTTCATGCTGTACAAAGGCTTGTAATGTGAAAAATAAATAAATACTTAGGGAACAACACTATTTACCCATTACGTGACCCTTTCCTCAGCAATAAAATGCCACTCAAACAAGTTTGTGGTGTTGTGAAAAACTTCTGAGCTTCAGAAAAACAAGCGGTCAAGATGTGAATACATAAATAAAACGGTATAGTGAGTTTACCACTTGGAGTAGCATTTACTGCTGAACAACTGCATGCATAAAGGTAACCAGTAATGTACAAAAAAGTGCCCACCATCCTACAATTTTTTGTTTGACATGTCTTTCTAGTTATGAATGATACTGTATGCTTCTATAGATGTTGCCTCTCAGGAACTAACAAAACAACAGCGTACAGTAAATAAAAAGAAGTTTTGAGATCATTGTTCTGCTTGATCAGCAAAAATTAGTACAGTCGAGTCTTTTGTTGCTTTGATATCTGTATCTGTCTGTCTGAGACAGTCAAGAAAGTCACACAAGTAAAATATAGTAACCTTTTCTTCTGTTTCTTTCATTTGCTCAGTAATTTAAATCTTAATTAAAAGGGCAAAGGAAATTTTTCAAGTTGTGAATATAAGTATGGCTCTTTCTGTCCACTCACTTTTGTGTTGTTACTCAACTCATATGAACAGATTGATTTCTTTTCTGGAACTAAAAGAAAAGGCAATGAAGATATATGGATTGCATGGTCACATATGGGGAGGGTAGGATAGTCTGTTCCAGTGTGAAAATGGATATAGAATGAAAACCATCAACCAGCCCCTTAGCTTTTGATTACTGTCCAGTGGAAGTGATGCAGATGAAACAGCAAAGGGATCGGCAGCCTGCAATACTGTTTGATACCAGTCAAAGGAGCTCAGTCTTGGCATTTGGACAGGAAAAACAAACTCTGCTGTAAATGAACACATCAGTTTCTTACTACAGTCCCAGGCTAGTGTCCTTAGCTACAGTATCCTCAACAACAAACACATTGTGTTCTCTTGTTGCTTGAAAAATTTGTGCTGAGTTATTACAAGCATCTGTGTCCCACTGAGTAAGCCCTCTCAAGGGTCCCAGACACTTCTGGACATGCCATGGTGTCAGTGAGAACTAATAATGTTGAAGCAAATAAAGTAAGTAGTGAAGCCACCTGAAGAGCAGAATCCAGATCCCACAGCTTTAAAGGGCACGTTCCCAAGAGGAATGACAAAGCCAGATGCGACTGTGTGTTTGTCCCAGATGGCAAACGTGGTGAGGATAAAGAGTATATCTGAAGGCTCTGTAATGCATTTTGTTGGGTTAGGAGCAACCTCTCTTTTAACACCTTGCATTCCATAGTGTCTCCCACAAGGTGACTGTCAAGCACTTCCTGGGCACTCATTCTCATGATACTGCCCAGAGGTAAGTAAGGAATTGTCACCCTCTTATCACAGATAAGGGGACTGAGAGAGGGAGGTGAAATGTGAGTTTTCCAGTGTCTCAAGGGAACCTGTGCAGCACTATGCAGTACTTAAAACAGCCTGCCAACCCGAGATCTTGGGAAAAGTCAGAGCCTCTATCAGCTAGGCCCATAGTTTTCTGTATTTCTTATTCTGGCAACCATAATGTAAAAGCAATTCTAGAAAAATAGAAAAATAAATGTTGCAAGGACCTTATACTTATGTGTCCTATTATGGTATCCTTGAATAGCAGGTTCTCAAGCTTAGTCACTGCCAAATGCTGTGCTATCTCAAGGTGTCTGACTGCCATTCAGTTTGGTATAAATTAAGAGCCAATAATAAGCAATATGTACATATTCTGCTTAGATATTTGAATCAAATGTTAGCTAATATACTGAATCACCAATGCAGTGGGAACAAGGGTGTTAGTCCCCTCACCATATTGAAGGTTTGTCAACTACTAAGTAAAATATAGCAAAAACTTTATGGGCTAAAAAAACCCAGCTTTTGTCTCCAGAAAGTGAAGCAATACTTATTTGGCTTGTCAGAGTAAGAAGCATGCCTCATAAATCAGTTTGCAAGGGAGTGGGGAGAAAAGTTGGATTGATTTTTCTTGCTTGCTTGTTTTTAAAGAGGAAGGAGTAATCCTGTTCAGAATCCTTAATTAACTTCAGGAAGGAGGTCAGTAACAAAAGCTAACATGCCCAAAAAGCAAGTGCTTGCTTCTCTGATGCAGGATGAGATAATGAGATCTAAAAAGTGAGTGCCACAAAAGTCTGTACCATATTATCAGTATACAGAAGGGAAAAGAGAAGGAACTTTCAGCTTTGATCCTAGTGTAAGTTAAATTTCCCCACTTACATCTTTTATAAACTTTCATCACTGTTATCTGTGTTGGGAGCAAGGAAGAAGAGCAGGCAAGGATTGAAGGGTTTGTCTTGCTGAACAGCATAGCCTTCTAAACTAACAAATGTCATTCAGTTTGTCTCAAAAAAAGGAAACCAACTATCACTAGTCAGCTTGAAAGCCTTGCCCCAGGGTGTATACTGTATTTCCCAGAAAAAATCCTCAAAGGAAAGGGAATTCTCTAGAAACGTGACAGGGAAGAAAATTAAATCCTCAGTGGGTTTCAAGGAGACTGCTAGACAATAAGTGGCCCCAAGCAGTTAATGTATGACTGCTCTTCTGAGAGACCTCTGGACTTGAAGGCATACTGTGAAAAGCACTATAAAACTGTTTTCCTGGAAGCAGAATAAAGCAAGGGGTGCAACTGATGCTGTGCTCTATGTGCTCACTGGGAAAGGGTGGGTCATTCTTGCAAAGCTAATCATGATCATCCCCTCCCTGTAATCAAAACCAGTCTTCATAGTTGTGATGGACAGTGTGTATCAATTTCCACATCAGACATAAATCAAAGAAAAAAAATATTTGCAGTGTTTGGCTTCATGATCTGGTACTTAGAATCAATTATTTATCTAGCTCAGAACTTAACTAGTTGCTCAAGCCATGTTTACTGCTTTCAGTCTATAAGACCTCCCGAGAGAAGCGTTTCCTAAAGACATGAAGTGATCATATTACTTATTTAAAGAATTACAGCAATTATCCAGAGTAAAATAGCTATCATTTGTATCTCCTAAACTAGAAACAAAGCAGCAGTTTAACAGAACTCTGAAATTCATAATGCAGATATTAATTGAGGTGGTAGTGACTGACGAGTAGTGGAAACCCCTTTTTGCTGGCAATGACACTATCACAGTAAAATAGATTTTCCCTGTTTAGCCTTACATCTTAGAGAAAGGTTAAAAATAGTTTGGTTATCATTACAGGTTCCAAGGAGGGCAACACATAACTAGAAGAGGAAACCTGGCACTGAATATGCACAGACATCCCCCAGCAATGTTAAATCCATAAGGGATTTGATACAATGAAGATTAATGGTGGGCTCTTCATTTTTGTTTCTGTGTTGCAAAAATATTGGAGGCAACTATCTTAAGTCATTGAAAAAGCTATATATGTTAAAGATTTCTAAAACTTGCATAATGAGGGTACAGCAGAAATTGTGTGTATTAATATGTTACAAATCTGTAACATGGGAAGATGATATACATACCCAGGAAAATTAATATTTTTCCCCCTCTCATATCTGCAAGTTTTCAGAAGGAAACATTTTAGGGGTTATGAACTTACATTATGAGTTAACTTTCTCTGATCCTGCAGAAATCAAGGAAGTTTTACAAAAGCATCTACTCTAACTTCTTATTTTCTGGATAAAATCTTAACAACCTTACCAAAGACACAGAGGCAGCTTACAAAGGTAAAATGTGACTAGCAGGTCAGCAGACTGGAGAATGGTAGTCCCTGATTCCTTATGAGTAAAGGCCATTGTGACTTATCCTGTACCCAAAAGAAAAAAAAAAAAATTTACAAAGGTGATCTTTACCAAGGGAGTTGGAGAATCCATAAATCATTGTAATGGGCATTTTAGCAGACAGCCAGTTAGGATACCTGGAGAGTGATATGATGTGTACTGCCAGCAACTGCACAGGCTGGGTGAGGAACAAGAAGTCTCAGGGACTAGGAGGTAAGAAGAGTTTTCCAGTGACCAGTGGTAATCAGGAAGGCTCTCTGTGACACTGCAAGGTGGCAGGGAGCACACCTGAACCGCAAAGATCCCCCAAAGAAGCTGCCATCTCCCTGTTTCACCCTGAAAGGTTGAAAAGCTCTGCTCAGTAGATACAAGGGTTGGGTCTTTCATGACAGGCCAGACTGGATCCATTTGTCAAACATAGTCACCTACTTTGGCAGAAAATGCTGATTCAGTGTACCCATATCCTGTGGACATTTCGTGAAGCTGAAAGATGTCCCTTCAAATGCTTTTTCTGAATCAGATGTAGGAGGAAGAACCCAGCTAACCACTGGGATCCACTGGATTAAACACCAGGTTTGGTATTATCTCCTGTACAGTGGTTCAAGCCCTTCAGTTTACCAAAAAAATCTCAGAAAAGGATTACAATTATTTTGTTTCCAATGAAGCAAAATGTTGTGTTCATACCAAAATGGCTTTTTTTAATTATTATTTTGCATATGAAAATGACTTCTTTCCCTCAAAAACATCCAGTCTTTCAAAATTATACATTTAATGTTTTGGTTCAGGCACTGACTGATAAAAGCAACTGTTTACACAGCCTTAATCAAAGCTGAATGGTAAACAACAAAAGCCTCCCTTGTTTTTATAACCCTTCTTCCTAAATTATTACCATTAATAATTACATTAATGTTTATTATGGTGGTATTAAAAAACTAATTGAGAACAGGTCCTTTTGTGCTTGGTGCTGTACAGGTCTAGAGGAGCAGACAAGTCACTTGACAGAGATGGATAACAGCTTAAAAAGCAGACAAAGAGAATAAGGTATTTCTTGCTGTTTTCCTTGCCTTGTGACATTCAGAGCGTGTTGATTATAGTGGACTTTGGATCAAGTTCACTTAAAATTTCTGCCCTTGTTTCTGTGTTGTTCTAAAACCATAAAGAAATCTACATTTTCATGGAGCTGAAGGACAGTGCAAGAATTCTTTACTTTTAGGAATTGAATATGCACAAAGCCTTTAAATCCATGGCTTCCCTTGAATTTAAATTTTATGTCCCTGTCAATATCAATGGATCAGTTTTAGAATTTAAATGCTAATTGAATACTTTTCATTATTTCTTGTTTACCCTAATAGTTAAATGAATGAAGAATCATAAATGAACTGTTTGTAATCAATATTATGTTATTCTAAAACTTGTTTCTTTAAATTATATCAATATAGCAACTACTCAGTAACTCTTCCTTAAAAGATTCTGATATATAACTCTTGTCTTAGATCTTAGGTTAAGTTTCAGTGAATCTTTATTTAACAATTTCCAATTAGAAATCAGTCATTATCCAAAGCAGAGGAAAATTTGAGCAGGAAGAGGATTAACAATGATGGCATCAGCTGTTAGTCACTCAAGTGAAAGTTGAATAAATTTTTATAATCAAAAGTGATAACTTTAATAAAGAGATCTGAGTTGTTATCAGACTGAAATAGATAATTTAGAAAATTCTTACCTGTTACTGATTGAGAAAGTCATTGTTGTTGCTTCACATTTCTATCTTGGAAGAAAAAAAGAATGTTGTAGTAGCAAAGTAAGGTCTTCTGTGTCCTAAAAATCCAGAAGAGATGCTCTTCTCACTGTTTCTGTAGGTAATTTGGGTGACATCTCTCTCCCTTTCCCCTTTCTCTCCCCCTCTTCTTCCTTCCTTCCCTTCAGCTTAGCCAATGAATTCTGCTTTATGATTATGGTCTGGTCTGACTTTGAAGTTCTGGCTCCCTCTGCTGTTATATAAATATAGTAATTCTACAGGTACTTGAGAGGAACAGCAATTTCATCAAGGAGCTGTGAAGTTATCTGAAGCACGGCATGCATCCATGCTGCACATAAGTGTGTATTCAGGTAGAAGTACACTAAAGCAAAGGGACAAAATACAGAAACAGAGCCCAGTCCTGTTCTACTTGCTGAGGCAAGATTTCCATAGGGCTCAAAGAGAATTTTGCATTATACATATGAAAAGATTGCCAGTATCTACTTTCTCAATTTTTCCATTCCAACACAGACTAATATTGAAATTTTATTTTAGAAGGATCCAGTCTACAAGTTCTTAAATTGTGAAAAGGGTAGACGTAAACAGTAACTTAGGCAAAGAGCTTAGAAATGTAAGAGCACTGAGAAAATTTGAAATAGAGGAAAAGAAGGATTTGCAGAAGTGCCAGTTTTCTTTGATTTTTCCCAGGTCTTTCTCATGAAAAACCAAGGCAGAAATCAGAGTTGCAAATTTTTCTCTTGCATTGGGAAAATACACAAATATAATATTTCCAAGGGCTATATCAGAATAAAGAAATTTTGTTCTTTGATTAAGGTGGGTTTTAAGCTATAGTCAACTACTTAACTAGTCCAGTGGCTAATGCTATTCTGAGGCTCTTCTAAAGGTGTGATAAATAGTTATAGCAAATACATGTTTTCATTTTTAGGCATGTAGTATGTTAACAGAAATCAAACATTTCATTATCAAAATAAGTGCAAGCTCTTAGCAACTAAAGTAACTATGAAAATTTTTCATTTGTACTGTATTCTTTCTTTCATTTTTTCTGGTACCAGCTATTACAGATGTGCTCATCTACTTCAAGAACTTAGCTGTTATCTGTCATTAGAGAAATAATCAAAGCATAGCAGGAATAATTAAGGTCTTTCTAGGGTATTTTGGCATTTCTTATGACACTGAGAAGCATAAAACTGGAATCTGTAATGAATGGTGTAGACTGAAGATTTGTCCTTAGTTACTGATTCTTTCTTCAGGGCATGCTTGAGCTGCTTCTTATTTTGTATTACTTAGTTTTTATCATCGTCCTTTTCAGGAGCTTTATTTACCAGCTAATTTGAACCAGCACCCCATATCCCAGCATTTCCCTTTTACCCAGGCACCTCAGAAGGAGGCAACCTTTCTGATCTGGTTAGGGAAAAGTACATGAAGTTTGTGCTTCAGCTGAGAAGGCATCAGCCCACACAGATCTCGAGCCTCTTGCCAGCTCCTTAGGAAGTATAAACTCCCTATCTTACTGGAGCCAGAAAAGCTGAAGAGATTTATTTAGCTGTTCTGTTCACTTCTGTTTCTTCCTTAATTTATTTATCATATGTCTATTTGTTCTGCTGTTCAAAACATTAAAGAAAGGGGAGGAAAACCACTAGGAAACAGACAGTCCTTTTACTGAGGGGTATTTTGATTTGTGAAGCTGTTCTTATCCCCCTCAGCTTGCAGCATTCATCAGCCAGACTTATCTCCACACCTTCCAAACATTTTAAAATATTCTGTGTCATTTTTATTCTCTTAAGTCATACACTTGGACAGAGCCTGCAAACTAGGAAATTAGCATCTGCTCTCTTCTTACAGTCAACAGTAAAAAGCTGTAGCACTATTCCTGAAAGACTGATCACGGCTCTGCTGCCCAGGGGTCAGGAAATGACCTAACCACCAATGTTTTGCTATGGCATCTGGGAATTTCTTTTTGACAGATTTTTAGGATGAACTGCTGTAGCAAGGTTCTGGCCATTTTTTGGTGAGGTGGATGGGGATGCATTAGAGTCCTTGTAACACATATCCTTTCCATATTGCCTCCAAACTACAGGGTGAAAATGCTTACTATTAACAAGTTCATGTGAGAGCAGCACTTGGGTCATTCCAACCCTGCACTAATCTGTGTAGCTGGGACTTACAAGCACACTGCAACTGGTGAGTGTAAGCCAAGAGATGTGGTGGGGCTGGAGCTGCCATTTAGTAGGTGTCTGGACCATAGCATAGAGGGGGACAATATTGGAGCTAGCTTGGAGTGAGAACAGCAGCAAGACAAAGATGCAGATGCCTCTTTCCTCATCCAGGTGGGTCTTGTAGACTTGGTTCAGCACCTTGCTGAAAGGGATGTTGGTACCCAGAGGTGGCTGGTTTGAATCTGGCCATGTTTAATTTCATGATACAGTGGGGACTCCTGGACAGGTATCTGTGGAGAGTTGCTGTGAGGATCCTGACACATTCAGACTTTTGCAAAATGCACAAGCAGTACTTGAATGAGTCTGAATAAGGGTGTAAATTCCTCTATACGCAGGACACTTGCTGCTGGGAAGCAATGTGGCAGTACTGTAGTCCCAATTATTGCTAGTCATGTGCTGGTGAGACTGGCTGTTTCTGTTCATATCAGTAGGTTTGCATTGATTCTAGCAACCAGTGGACCAGCCCCTGTTTACTGTTGATAGGGAATGAAGTAAAGAAACTGTAGCTGGCATGACATGTGGTTGTTCTACTACCCACAGAGCAATAAGAAGGTTTGCTCTCATTCTCTGCTCTCAGCATGTGCTCCTGTTATGTGAAGGCACTGGGGAACTGTCCTGTTTTCTCTGCAGTTTATTACATAAGACAGTTGGACTCCATGGAAATAATGCATTTCAAGAGGGTACAGGTGCATGGGGAAATAGTCCTCTCTGCTCTGGCCAAATAATGTCTTCCTGCATGTGGTTATGATGACAGCAAGACCTCTACCAACAAATGTTCATTGTGTGCAATTAAGCAATTCCCTGGGAGTGACAGGATTGTCACAGCAGTGGTATTACAGCTGCACTCTGAATGCTTTGAGGGTTTCCTCCAGTGCTCTTGTGTCAAATCTTCAGCCATATCAGCCTTCATTAATGGACCTCTAATGTTCTGTCTCTTTCTTTCCTCTGAGGCCAATTTCAGAGGCCAGTTCTCCTACAGTGCATCTAACAAATCTCACTGCTGTTCAACATCTGAAGTCCTGCTCTCTCTTGGCACTGTTAAACAAGGAACAGTGTCCACAAGCAATAGTACTAGGTACTTGATGATGAAAGCATATAGAGAAAATGCACCATGAACAGTACATGTATGCTAATCTTATCAGGTCTACATGGTATCCTTGTAGGTATTTTGCACAAGTTTGGTTTGCCTTTATTTTGTCAGAATCTCTACCTCTCTCTGAAGTGGAATTTATACTGTAACAATTTTCAGCCTTATCCAATTTGTTCATAACACAAATTCCATGAGGGGAGCTATGAAACTGATGTATCTTCCCAAAGATTTTTCTAAAGTACTTAAATTATGTTCAAACCTTTAGAAAAGTATCCCTGTTACTCAGGGCCCTCTAGGCAGGCTCTTATAAATGTAACTAGCATTTGGGAAGCTGATAGCATGATCCCTTTATATCTCTATCTATGTCTATATCTATATTTATCTCCTTATTAATATATATATAACTGGGTGAAATCCTCTGATCCACCCTCAGCAAGTAGAAAAGTGAGGGTGTCTCCAGTGTCTGCTACTCACAGTTTAGAAGGGTCATAGCCAGCTCCAGTGATGTCCACTCCGTTACTCGCAAGAAGGCACAGGAGGATAGCATCAAATGGAGCTGCTACTAGCCAGTTCTAACTAATCCTGAGGGCCAAATATTTAAGAAACTACATTTCTCATTTTACCTGCTTCCTGGAATCACCTTAATGACTTTTTGGTAGTACTGTGGATGGGTTTTCTTCTAACCTTTGGTAAGCTGTTTTCCTTAGTGTGTGTAGGTTTTCTACTTGTATGCTCTCATCACTGCACTTGAAAATAGACTATGTGACTGTGATTTTCCACAGTGGATACTAAAAAGAAGTTGTTGTTTCCATCAGCTGAAATATTTCATTCAGCAAGGTAGAGGAAAGGCAGACAAAGAAAACACCCATGATGTCAGTGTTGAATAAACTGAACATACTCAAATGATTTATCTGGGCCTTTTAAGCTGTACAGTGCTCTTGTTATAATTGCTCTTAATATTGTCTAAATATATTTTATAGAATATTTCTCATATAAACTACTTTCATGAACTTTGTACCAGGCACAGTGTAGTGCCTGAAGTCTACTGGCTAAACATGTTTTATAGTCCAGGTTTTCTGTACAAACAGCTTTCATGGGGTTGTTTGTCAGTGGACTTTGATCCCAAAAAGATTATTGCAGGAAATCCTACCATGGTATGGAAGGCTACTGAGCTATTCATATGGCATTTCTTTGCAGTAGGTTGGAGTCTCGGGCATGGGCCTGCCTTTTCTGCCATATACCAGTCACCTTCAGGAGAATATGTTCCCTTGTGCATCTGCGTTTATGGATTGACTCACACAAGGGACCAGGGTGGGAGGAGGATTTCAAAGGACTGTTTTCTGCTTTGTTTCATCCCATTCTTCTAGTATATGTGTTCTTGGGGGAATGTCAATTAGCATAATGGCATAATGAATCCATTTGTTTGGCAACAATTTATGTAATACCTGTTACTCTAAAAGCTAGATCATTTCCAAATCAATAATTAGATTTACAAACATTTACAGACACCATGAATTCTTCTGTTTTCAACAAGACCAATCAGTGACTATTTAGAAGAAAAAGCAGTGATTTGATGTATATGAAAATTTATTTAATTCTGGATCCCAACAGGAAAAAAGTCACAAAGTTATTTGTGGTAAAGCTTGGTTACAAATGTGTGCTATAAGACAAACCACCTAGTGTCAGAAGTGAGATAGGTGTGGCACAAGTAGAGCTATGAAAGTCAATAGACGAACCCATTTCTCCTGAAACCATGTTGCTTTGCTGCTTTCCTCTAAAGGAAAGATGAAGATCATGTTCAACTTCTGGGGTAAGTGTGGAAGAGGAGAATACATCATGTGGTCTTAACCAACTCCATTGTAGACTTTGCAGCTTATGTCAGGATTAGTCTTCTTCACCACTCGGATAGAACAGCTTTTCTTGTGGAACAGGCCAACACAGTTCACCCGGTCATAGTTCTTGGGGATTAAAACCCTGTCATTTAGAAAGGCAAAGTAAAAACCATCAACCAAGACATGGACTGAGAAGGATGCTTACTGGGCAACAGCCATCCTGGAGCAAGCTACATCATGGATCGATTCGGCTCATGGATTCCATTAATACAAGCACTGTGGTTTATAGTAGGAGGAGCACAGGGCTCTGATCATGGCTTTTAACAGATGAAGTGATCTCACAATGTTTATTCTGGTTTAAATGCAGTTTTCACTAGTCATTCTGTAAAGCATTGCTATAAATTCCCACACAGACACAAAATAGTCATTAATTCCATCTTCCCCATTCAAACTAAGACCTCCTTGGTAATAACAAATTATTTAAAGAGTGCTGAATCACCCCAGCCTAAATACTTCCCAGCCGAGCCGAGCCTCAGCACGGGCTGACTCCATCCCTGTTATGGCTGAGGACAACCAGGAATATTTCCTACCAAAAGTTCCTTAGGTTGTATCCTTCCTCACAGACCCTTTTTAGGACTCTCTCCCTCACCTCAGAAAGGATTTTTCCAGCCTTCTGGGGAGAGAATCAGTTCACACCACTATATTCAGGAAGACACAGCTGTCTTTGATGTGTCACCTACCACCCATGAGACAGCAACACATGGGAAGATGTAGAAAGCAAATTATCAGAGCAGGGCATGTGTGTCCTGTTTTCATAAGCAGGAAGGGTTGGCTCTTGGCAGCATGGGATGGATGTGGAGCAGCTCTGGCCTGATTAGATTCTTGCAGGCAGGCCACTGATCTGACGCAGAGCTGCAGGAGCCCACACATATGTGTGTTGTGGGGTGTTTAGGTATCTGGAGACAAGCTGCTGTATAGAAGGAGGAAGAAAACAGAGGCTAAAGGGAACCATAAACCCAGTTACAGTCAGAATCAAAAGGAGGACTAGGTGATGAGGAAGAGCTGTGTGCTGGAAAGACCCTAACTGTTTCATTTTGTTTCTTCCCAAAGAAGTCTATGTGATTGCCAGATTATTCTGTTTGGTTATGATTAGAGCTAACTGGGAAACAGGAAGAGGAATTTTGCTCATGTGAGTATGAAATTCCAGTGCATGTTTTCAGTGAGGTTTTTTTAGTCTGAACATTTCAACCAGTTCCTGAATAAGCAAACAATAATTTGGGTGAACTTACAAGCTGCAGCAAATCATTGCAGTCATCTTACACCTGCATTGGTAACAATCTTCAGTCTTCCACACCGCACCAAAAACATAGAGGTTTCTGTTTGAAAGGCACCCTGCACGTACACACCAGAAAATAATAGTCACTAGATCAATATGAACACATAACAATAGATATAGACCACAATCTTATGTTTGTGGACTAGCAATCAAAGCATTGATTTCTGTAGAGTGACACCAAGGAAGAATCTAACCCAGTGCTCTGCAGAAAAGATACCACGTCTTTGCTCCTGAAGTGTACATGAGTGTATGACATGGCATGATAAAGTGGTAAAGTGATAACAGTCACATACCAGAGAAGCATTACCCTGCTATTGCAGTGGATCTGAGAAATGCCTTTGCTTGTGGTTACAGTGGGATCTTGGTTCCCTTTCTCATATTTAATGTACAGGTCTAGACTTTAATTTCTCCCTCCTCCCCAATTCTTATTAGACTTCAACTTGCTCTGCTAAACTGAATTTAAACACCAGCTGTGTTATCTTTTCTTTGTTTTTATTGTCAGGTACACGCCTCAGGTTAGTCAACACTGCTTAAAAGTACATGGGTTTTGCCACATGGGCAGTGACTTCAGTTATATATCAGCCCAGAGGGTAACTGTTGAACAGGATAAAGTCTCTCTCTGTGTGTCCAGAGATGTCTCCAGGTAGGTTGGTTCCCGAGTACACAGCTGTTTGGATCATTCCTCAGTAAAGAATGTATTACACTATTCCAACATTTCTAAGAAAAAAAAAGGCTTTGAATCTCTGAATTAATGCTTCAGGGATGTCTAGTATATTTGTCATTCTTACCATATTTGCTGGCTGGTCTAAAGTAACAGCGAGCATCACACAGAGTCCTTGAGAAGAGAAGGATCAGGCAAAAGAGTAGCAAGAATTTCTAGAAAAGAAACAAGAATCTTTCTTTAAAATTATGTGGCTTTTTCAAAGGTCTAGCAGACTAACTTGCACAGAATTAAGGATGAGTCCTATTATTCCCAATAAACTCAGATTAAAAAATACTTCCAGTGTACATAAACACACACACACGCACCATAAGCTGCTAACTTACCATACTTGCGTGGGCTGCTCACATTTCATAATGGAGAGTAGTGTGTTTTTATATACAGTGAAGAAACAATGGTCAGTGCAAAGAGAGATGATGTAAATGTAAGCACCCTAGGTGCCAATGGACACTCTAACCTGTTCCAATCATCGATCAGAAGGTGGCACCTCAAAAAGTCTTGCAAAGGCTTGTTTTGTGCACTGAGGTATATTGGCATCTTGATCTCCATTGTGCTGGTGTAAATCTGAAGAAACTCCAGTAGATAGACTAGTTACTCCACATTAGTATTGGTGTCAGTGGAAGAGTCTGACCCCCAGAAACTTATGCATCCAGAACTGGCAGGCCATCAAGGAACAGTGGGGAAAGGGCACATGCTGAGCAAGGCAGCAGGTCACTATTGTTCGGCTGACCTGCTACAAGAACATCGCCCCCAGGTATGGAACAGGCCATTCATACAGTGCAGTGGTGTGGAGAGTCCACTGTTCTCAGGCTGATTTATTATAATTTCAATTATTTAATATGAGACACATTATTTTGCCCATATTTAGTGACCTGCAGGAACTAGCTGTAGTTTTGTATCTCTCAGTTGCTGAAGCAAAGCCAGCCCTGGGGAACAGAGGCAGATCACCACTACCAGATAGCACCTTTTTGGCAGCAATTGGCAGCAAAAGTGAGATGAGATGTGCATTGTCTTAGTCCAGAAACAAACATAACAGTGAGGATGATTGTCACTCATAGCTCACTTCCTGACAGCAACAACATGAATGCTACAGATTGAGGCAGACAAAGAAAGAAAAAGTCATAGTTTTCTTTCACCATATGCATACCTTGCCTCTAACACAGCTGGAATTGGACATCAACTGCAGCGTTGTTTCTGCCACAGTAAAATAAGGACACTTCTTTCAGTGCACATCTTGCCATATGTGTACAGGTCTTTATGCCATTAGACTGTTGCAACACACGTTATCGAGGCTGCATCTCAAAACTAGTCAGGAAAACTAGCACAGATCCCTGTGGCTGCATCAGGGGCTGTAGGAATTCAATGCTTTACTGAATTGAAGCATAGACATAACAAGTTTTAAAAGTTACCAGAGGATTTCCAGCATGGTAAATTGCATTAATTCCATTAGCTTGGCTCTTTCAGTACACCTGGGTTTAATTAGACAACTTGTTGGCTTCCACTGATTGACAAATAGCTAGAGGAAACAAAGCTGCACTGGGCAGTGGCAGAATGAGTGTGCTCTCTTAAGGGACTGAGAGTAAAGGGACAGTTGGGAAGGAGGTGGTTGTTGTTTGTTGTGACAGATGATCCGATTTATGTAAGTTCCTTTTGTTTGTTTGTGTGTATTTAGCAAGAGGCTTTAGAGCTTTTGTTGTACTTTTCTTTTAGCTTTACAGTGCAGCTGTTGGGTTTAGTATTAATCTTGTGATTTTGGTAAATAATGCTCTCTGTGTGTAGTTTTGCTGCAGGAAACAGTTGTAGTATCTAATGAAGTGCCTTGAAAAATACTCTTCCTCTAGCAATCCTTAAATGAATTAATTTATATTTGAAGAAAATGATTTGTTCAAAATTACTTTATTAATGATTAGAAGCAACAAGGTGAAAGTATAACATAGCTCTTACACTACTAAGCCTTTAAGTATGTCATGTAAATTTGGTTTTATTTTAATTGAGACAATTTAATTAGGGTCTAGTATAATTAGAGGCCAGAGCCACTTCTGCCCCGTACCTCCTGTAACTTGACAAATCTTGTGCTGTCTCTTGAGGAGAATTAAGTGTTATAATATATAATATCTCTAATAAGAATATAGTTGCAAGGGGAAAGGTAACAAGCAACTTCTGACTTGAAGGACACAGTGGGTTCTAAATTATTCTTTTACTTAAGATGATTAGTTTACTTAATTAGTTAGTTATCCTTTTATTCCTTGGAGAAAAATAACTATTAATAACTTTCTTACAATTGCTGATTCTCAGGTAGACACATGTATAAAATAGGAAACTGAAGTGTAGTGTGACCAAGGCTGCTGCAGCCAGAAATGCCTGGTAGCTCTACTTTCTTAACCTGAAGTGTATATTAAAGCATGTTGTGTGCATTTTTTCCTAAAAAGGAGGTGGGGCGGGGGGGAAGTTTAAGGCATCTTAGATTGCAGACTTCAGAATGTTTATGAAAGTCTGTAATATTGAGTGAGTTGTCTATGGGATCTGTAGTAGAACAGAGGCCTGTCTCTCTTCATGTTCCTGCTGACCTGCTTGGAACTTTCCTCTTGAGACAAACAAGGTTTTCTAAGTTAAATGGGTAACAAAGGAGTAGAGAGGATTCTCTGCTGTGCAGATGTAAATTAAATTACCTTCTGGGCTGCAGTATTAAGCAAGTGTCCTCTGGGGGTTCCTCTGTTAAGGGAAGGTTAAGTTGTCCTAGCCTAGCTTGCCTAGCTGATGGTTGTGATGGGTGAGAAGGTTGATTGCCTCTGAGATATGGACAATATGACTGCTTGCTGCCTTTCCCTCTAACTTCTCCCTTGGGGTCTATTGTTCTGGAAGGGCTTGCAGACCATCTCTAGACATGCTGACTTAAGTCAAACAACTTCCTTCACTGGGTGTGGGGGTATGGCAGCAGTTAATGTATGGGTCTCCTCAGCTTGAGGTCCATGAAGCAATGAGAGGAACATCCAGAACTGCCTTGCCCTGTTTTATCTAGCTTCTGTGTCTGTCAGGGAAGCTGCCGAACTAAACTGGTCAAATAATGTAGGGGCTTAGATAAAATAGTGACTCTGTGCTAAACCAAGGAGGCAATTCTGTCCTGGGAAGCTTTTGCCAATTAGAAGGATTCTGAATTTTCTGAGGAGATGTCTGGAGTTGAAGGGCATGGGCTGCTGTCCTCCCTTGAACCCGAGGGGTGCCTGAATGGTGGCTCTAGATGACCAAGGCTCTGACTAGAGTATCAATTCCATAATTTGTTTAACACTTGCTCACATTGAAAATATTTCTTCAGTAGCATTCAGTGACTTTACACATAATCTGCTGGATGTTTATTGCTTCACCTTGTGTTTCCTGATTCAAAACTACATCAACATACTGCTTAATTACTAAACATTCTGGTGGGCTTCAAAACTGGATTAAAGCACATGAATAAATCTGACCTGACTTCCAAATGGTTCATGTCAATCTGTTTTAGAGAAGCTAGTAAGGGAAACTAATGTTTCTTCTGGCTCTGACAACTGATTGCCTCAATTTTTAGCTGAACTCACCTGAGTGAGCCATTAGGCAGAACCCTAACTAATGTGTGTGCAACTGTTAGGAAATCAAATGGGCTTAAGTACCACCTGTGTGACCTGGCCCTTGTCAGTGAGAATATAGTTTGCTACTTATCAGGTGTACAGCAGCATCAGTGTGGCCAGCAGTTGTGGTGGGTGGTACTGTCTTCCCTCTGCAGGAGGGATTCAGGATTGACTTCCTGATGCTTTTAGGTTATGGAAATGCACCCTGTCCAAATCCTTTCCCTAATGGAAGTTTTAAACAGACATTTCTGTAACTCTCTTTCTTTCCCCATCAGTTCACACCTTTACTGGTCTGGGGCTGATGGCAGCTGGGTCTCTTTTATGTGTGGGGGGTTTGTTCATTTTAAACTTAAGCAGTTTAAGTTGTTTAGCCTATGTGCATGCTTCCTTTTGTCCAGCTTGGATTTGCCTCTATGAACACTCTCCCTCTGAAGCAAAAAATTAGTTCTCTAACTGTTGTTCATGTAGAAAGCCTGAATTTTTTCTTTAAACTGTTCATCAGAAATGCATAACGCAAAGGCAGTGTAACACCTCCACTACCTTTGAGAGGTAAGTATTGGTTTTGCCTTCCTTCAGTACTAGGGTTATGAAGGGGGTAGTTTTGATCTCAATCCACAGACTTATTTAGATCCCAAAGTACCCCTTGCCTTCAGCAGGAATTAGTCCTTGCATAAGCCCTGAGTGTGAGTCCAGAACAGCTCCCTCTTGTTTTATTGTCTATGCTGCACGCATGACATCTCTCTACTCCTTTCTTCCCTCTCCTGGAGAGTACACTGCAAAGCACAGGGAACCTCAGCTAGAACAGATATGTCAGAGCTGGCATGACGAGATAGTTAATGGCCATAGTTAGATGACAGTGCCCCTGGGTCACTGCTCAGGGATGGGTGAACTGGGCTCTGCCAGGCTGGAATTCTTCCTCTGTCTGTCTTCCTGTTAGACAGGAAAAAAATACTGGAGGAACAGAGTTATTACATCTGCTGCTATCTTTGGTGTAATCTAGCTTGAATGACCACACGAGGCATTAAATCTAGCCTAGGTCCATCATGAAAAGCTTGCATGTGCCAGTGACATCAAAGTGCAGATGGCAGAGAAAAACACGGTTAAATATTTTTTCCCCTCTCATTGTCCTAGCAAGCAAGAGTTCTCTCTTTCAGCAGTACAGGCCTGCAGGTAGCTGACCACTGCCACTGCTTGCCTTCATCCAGAGGAGTGTCTTGCTCCACTTATTGAGGGGGTTCCAGTTAGGAGTTGGGGGAGGAGTAACTGCTCGTGAACCTCTGGACCTTACCCCTCCCATCCCGAAGGCAAGAGCAGTCCAAATCCCTGAAGTGTAGCTATTCTTCAAGGGGTCTGGGATTAGGGCTTGGTGTCTGTGGGTGCAGATGTAGACAGCTGCATGTTGGCCCTGAACTTCTCTGTGGTAACTAGTAATGGCAGCTCTGGAAAAACGTTCTTAACCCTCTTGAGCATTTCAGAGCTGAAGTGAGCCTTTAGCCTCTTGGGCGTGACTTGTTCCACATGTGACAAGCAACTGCACTGGTACTACCATAAAGTACTCCTAAAATGGCTGGGCTTTAAAGAGCTCCCTTTTAAGCTAATGCTACCAGCCCTAATTTCCCCTCCCACTCCACTCTTGTGTGATCCTCTTCCACCCTAGCAAAACTCTGAGGAAGAAGAGTTACTCCTAAGCTGAGTCTTCACTATCAGTATTGGTGCTAGGCAACGAGCTATTTTGACAACTAAATTCCTGGAACTGCAGTAGGAGGCTAAAATATCTTAACACTGTCCATTAGTTTGACAACTCTCAATTCTTTTGTATTTATCAGCTTTCTTGTCTTTACTGAACATGTGAAGGAGCCAGATAAGTCCTTTCCTCTTGCCTGACTAGAAGCCAACAAAGTATAATAATTTTGTGTGCTGCATTCTCCTGTGCTGAATGCATTCAAAGCTGCATGCTTGGCTCCTCCTGAAATATCAGGTAGATGCACATGGCCCAAAGTGAACTGAGGATGAAACAATTCCAGGCAAGAAGCTAAAGTAATACAAATATTCATTAAGAGTGTTAAAAGCTGCTTGCTAGATGATATCTAGCTAGAAACAGAAAAGTCATGAAGTACTTAACAGCACTGTTTGTGTAGAGCATGAGGATCCTGGTCTGTCTAGGAGAGCAGCTCCCTGTAGGGTTTTTTTTGCCCTCCTTGTCCCCATTGGATCCATTCATCTAATGACAGTTTTGTCTTGACTTCAGCTACTCCTGAAAATACAGGTTTCTCACTAAGAGGTCTGAAGTTTCCCAGTGAGAGAGGTCTGCAGGAATCACTAGGCTAGTGACGGATATCTACTTGATGACTCACCGCCACAAGACAACAATATTCACCGAGGCTAAAGAGACAACAACTGTGCATGAGCTGAAAAAGATGGTGGAGGGAATACTGAAGAAGCTACCAGAGGAGCAGTGTCTCTACAAAGATAACCAGCTACTGGATGATGATCATAGGACTCTGTTAGACTGTGGCTTAAGCAGCCAAAGCTGCCATCCTCATGTTCCTGCCACGGTGGGCTTGGCTCTATTCAGACCTGGCAATGGCACCTTTGGACCACTGTGCATTGACCCCTTCCCAAGCACCTCAGAGCTACCTGATGTCATGAAGTCATGTGCGTCTGGTAAAAGCTCTAGTAAGCAAGCCTTGTGTTAAAACCAGCATCTCCTGTTTTTCCTCTTGTAGACAGGGTGCTTGTCTTGTCTGTGTATCCTGCGTCCATCAACATTCTTACAGCTGTGTCTATCTGACCAATAAAGCATTGCAATTCAATTACATGATGTCAGTGTGCTGTAGTGTCCAGACAGCCAAGAGAACTGTTTTGTGGGATCCTTCTCCCAAATTAGTGCTGGAGGAGAATGGTAGCAGCAGCTGGTTATGTGTGTACCTCCTGAATTATAAATGCATGTTCTGCCATTTGTGTTTCTTCTAGCCAATGCCCAGCTCTGAGCTGCTTGGTTGTTTTGTTGTTTGGTGGTTTGGTTTTTTTTTGGTGGGGGTGGGGGTGTGGTGAAGAAATGTTGCACAGACTAACTTGGTATATAAGCATTTGTTTCCCTGTCTTCATGTTGACCCATGACAGTAGTGCCTCTAAGGCATTTGGCTGGGAATCTTGAGGGACAGGGGTGTAGAAGGAACTTCTAGTCCTGCCTGTAGCAAAATCTTTAGGAAGACTATAACCTTAAGATCTGAGCAGATTTAAGGCTAGAAAATGGAGGTTATTACCTTCAAAGTTAGGGATGCTGCAGTAATATAATGCATATCAATGACTTTGTAAATCTGACATTAAGTATGGTTACTGACATGGACTGCTGAAAACATCTATCAACTGAGAAAAGGTTTTTCTTCAAGGGATTAGGAATTTACTTTCTGGTATCTGCCTTCTCCATTCTTGAAAGGCAATAAAAATACAATTTAAAAAGGGCAGTATAGCCAGAAACTAATATAATAAAGCTTCAGTCTGAGAGTTCTGTAAGAAAGAAGTTACTTACCACAAGCTCTAAAGCATGTGATTGGTCCTATCATTTATTCTGTTGCTAAGAAAGCTTATGAAGTCACTTTTCTTCCCAAACAGAATTGAACCCAACACTATTTTTTTCTATGAACCAGCCTATTTCAGAATTAATATTAGACTTTCCCTTTTATACCCAGTGATGTTTTCACAAGCCATCACATCTGACTAGACTCATACTGCTGTGCTGCAAAGGGAAAGTCGTTTTTTTTTCTCTGCTAACAATCAGAGTTAGTGCATCTGTTCCCTGAATGAAACTCAGAGGTAGTGTTATTGCTAAGTTTTCCTTCTTCTGTATCAAGGGTAGGCCAGTCTATGTCTAAGTTCAAAAAACACTCTTAGAACTACTCCGCCCCATCCACAATACCTCCTTGGATATAGACTAGATATACAGACAGTTCTAAAATACCACTTATATTCTTAAACCTCACTGGAGCAAACAGAAATTGAGCTGAATCAGGATCTAGATTTTTGTGTTCTCTGTAGCTCTGACTTATGCATGCAGTCCTTCTAGCTCAGGACCACTGTGATAGAACTAGGATGTCATCTAGTGACTAGTGAGTTTATAGGAAAGAGGAAAAAAGAACAAATGAAAACCTTAGCAACAACAGAAAAAGAAAGTTCCAGAGCTGTTGTATCTGTACATAAATAAGCTGTACTAATGTAGCTGGGCTGTAGTTACAGCAATCTTGACAGGCAGTGAGCACTAAGCAAAGAATACTGTCATGCCAGTCTCCATTTCTGATAGAATTTTGATCCTTCTAACTTTTGAATCCCTTCTTACAGAAGAGAGAGGGAAGAGTCCCTCACTTAAAAGAGATACTGAGAAGAAAGTGGAGACATTAATGAGGGATATTGGCTGCTTAACAATAACTGTATCCTAAAAACATAGGCCTGAGACCAGCCATGTAGCCAAACCAGATGCTGAACTTATTACAGAGTTGATCTCTTACCTAACCCATTTGTATAATTTGCTGTTAATATTAGAAGACAATGCTCTTAAGCTTTGAATTAGTTTTTTCAACAGTCTGCCTTACACAGCCAAATACCACAAATAGAAACAAATGACTGAGCTGGGAAAAAGAGACTTTTGTTAAATAATCCAGTCTATGACTTCAGGAGTCTAAAGAATTTTTAGTTAACACCATACAAAGCCAGACCCTTACTCAGTTCTCCTTGACCATCAACTTTGGTGTGCAGGACAGCATCCCTTTGTTCAGGAGCAGGGAAACCCCAATAAAATAAACTCTTGCAGCCCCTGGGATGCTTTCTCCATGTGCAGGACAGGGAGACTAAGGGATAGGACTGTTAGGAGAGATCAAGCAAGTCCCAAACTAGGAACTGAGAAAGGGAAGCAAAGCACCTCAGGGAGCCGTACTCTAATAAGGTTGTAACTTGGATCAGGATAGCATGTTAGGGAAGCTTCACAGTCCCAAGCTGGTATTTCAGCCCAGTCCAGCTACCCTGTTCTCCATACAGTGGACTTGAGTGACTTTGATGTTATACAGCTTAGGAAATTAAATCTTTCACAGTCTCTGAGCTGTTACAGTTAGCTGTTAAACAAAACTTCTTGTTTCTGTCTCTGTATATTTGCCCCATCTTTGTTTGGCAGGCCAGAGCAGCAATGGAAGCCTCTGGAATTACAGTAGAGAAAATACTGGGATATTGTGAAGGAGGTTATATTGTTGTGGCAAAGGACTGCAGTTTATCAGTGCTCCTTCATGGAGATCTACTTGAAGTATTGGCTATGCAAAGTCACTGAAGCCCTGGAGAAGTGTAAAAAGCATGGGTCAATGGTTTAGACTTACACGCTGAAAGAAATGAAATGTGAAAACAGAATTTTGGGGAGTGAGGAGGAGTGTGAAAGTAACCTGGTCTTGCTGAGTATTTTAGAATGGTCATATGATTTGTATGTTATGGAGTTTCATGTAATTATCTGTTATAAAGCCAGTAAGTTTGCCCTAAAATAAACCATAGCTTGGCCCAGGGAAACATGCACAAAATATTAGACTTGAACAGAAACTTTCAGGATTTCAAAAAGTGCCAGTGTACACTTTCCTGCATAACAACAGAAGAGATAACTAAGAGCAAAGTGCACAAGTGAAATTGTAATGAATTGAGTTTATCTAAGTTTTTTAAATTGGCACAAAGTAGAATGTGAACTGCGAATCTCTAGCTTCTTTGGTATGCATAATGTAAATGAGATATACACTTTCCTTGTTTGTGATTAAGTTAGATTTTAAGATTGGGGTGAAAATCTTAATGGAAACAAAACATGAATGTGTACAAAACCATTAAGTTTTAGCTCATAAACACTGATTAATATGAAAACTTCCATTAGATTTATATGTGTTCTTGTGTTTAGTTTAGAAGACTTGTTAGTTGCTAGGCTAAGCACTAGATTTCATTTTCAGTGCAAGAACACCTTTCAAGTACTCAAAAGACTCTCCTTGAAAAGAATTACTGGGAGTAGAGGGCCAGCTACCCAAAACTGCCTCTCTTTCAAACCGGACTAACAAGAGAGCTGTGTGCTACCAGGTGGAGAGAGGGAAGTAGTTGTGTGCAGACAAGAGAGCACACAACTACTTCTGCTCTGTCTGAGCTGTGCTGCCTTCCAAGCTTCTGCAAAGTCTTTTAAACATGTCAGGATAATTGAGGAAACTCTTCTGCCAATGTTTCCTTTCCACTATGTGGAGCTAGTGGTGTTATGATCTAAAGCTTTGAGGGTGGAGGGATGTATTCTTTGTATGAGTGTTGTAGGTGTGTGTGTGTTGAAGTAGTGAAATGACAAGACAAAACATCACTTGGCAAAAGTGGGAAGAGCAAAGAAGAGATTTGTATGCTCTGTATCTTTCTCAATTTTGAGGGTTTTGTCATCCTCCCACAGCTAAATTCCTTGCTACAGAAGGGAGCCAAGTCCCTGCTGTGCTTCTGGTGTTCCAAAACTAGATGTAACAGGTAACATCAGCTGTTTCCATGTTGAAAATTGCAGCAAACAAGAGGTGACCAGACTGCTTCCTGGAGGCTTTTTGGATTAGACGTGAAATTAATCTTTCGTACTTCTTCATAGCAGACAGGGTAGATCCATGTATCATAACAAGACTTGGCAGATGCTGGAGAAAGGTGTTTTGGTGGATTTAAAATGTGGTTAAATAGGTCTGTATCATGTAGGAGTGCTGGTTTGGGCTGGCTTTTCTGTAATTTGAGTGCATATGTCTACTCAGCCTTAAAAAGGTAAGTAAACCTTTGGTCACAGCTTACTGAAGTCTTGGTCTTCTCCATGGACATGCCTTACAACTGAACCTGGAAGTCTCTTGCAGTCAGAAAGACATCCATAGAATGATTTGGGTTGGAAGGGACCCTTAAAGATCATTTAATTCTGCAGCCCCTGCTATGAGCAGGTACATCTTCCACTAGATCAGGTTGCTCAAGGCCCTGTTCAACCCAATCTTGAACACTTGCAGGAATGAGGCATCCATAACTTCTCTGGGTGACCTGTTCCAGTGCCTCACCGCCCTCACAGTAAATAATTTCTTCCTTATATCTAATCTGAATGTACCCTCTTTTAGATTAAAACTGTTACCCCTTGTCTTATTGCCACAGGCCCTAGTAAAAGGTGTTACTCCATCCATGTTGCTAATCTTCCTGTGTCACCTCTTTTGATGGAAACTAGAAATAGCAACCCTACAAGTCCCATGCACCATGATGCAGTAGTTTCTCAGAAAGTATTTTCAAGTCCTCTAGCCTCAAATTCAAAGTGTTGGAGTTTGTGCTAGGCATGGTGTCGTTAGAAGATGCCTGCAAATATGCTTTGTCTGAGCATAGGCTTGCAAAGGGATGTAAACAGCCTCATGGCCCAGCTGTTGTTGGCAACAGTGTCTCCCAAGCAATGTCACTGAATATGGATAGTTTTGTGAGCAGTAGGTCTTGAGCTTTCCAAGCAGGTGAGAGTGGAAAACAGAAACAGAAGAGCCAAGCTAAAATTTCTGCTTACAGTCACGTTGTCAGCCAGTTTTCCCGAGAAACACATGTGCTTTGTGGTAGGTAAATCGTGATTGTATGTGCCAGTATGTGGGTGCACTTTCAGAATGATTCTACCTCAACTTCAGCATCCTTGGCAGGTGCTGAAGGAGCTGGGGCTGTTCATCCAGAACAATGAGTTGGACCAGAACACTGGAAAACAAAATTTTGGTGCTAGAATAAGGCAGGCAGTATCTAGAGGCAAGCAGGAAACCATGCACTGGCTTAAACCAATTAGGGAGCTGAAGTCTGAGGTAAAGGCAGCTTATTACAGCAAGAAGAAAGCTAGTAGGAAAACAGGCTCCTCTTTGTGGGTGGGGCTCAAATTGCATTTGCTGCCAGGATGTCAATAACAGAGAAAAATATCTCCTTTATGCTGTATAAAAAAGGCTAAAGACTATTACACAAGCTTCAAAATTATCTGTCCACACTCCATTCTGCTATAACAAATCAGGATGGCCTCACAAATACCTTCTTCTCTTGGCAGGCAAACTTTTTTACTTCTCTCTGTTAGTTGTTGGGACAGGCTGTGAATCTGAATGTTCCACCTGCTGTAAACAGCAAGATTCATGTCTGTAAACATGAATCCTGTTTGTACATGGATGGTACCTGTAAGATATGAGGTAGAATAATGCCCTGGTTTTTTTAAACTTCCTCTCAAGGCCTTGATGCTTGGGTAGAGTCCATCTGACATAACTCAGGATTTGTAATGGTCCCAGTCTTTGGATAATTTTCAGACAGGACCTAATGGGACTCAAACTGGCAAACTTAAGCACAAAGCAAGAATCTCAGGAGTAAATGGATTTCAGTGGATTTCAGTCTGTTTCAGAGATCAGATCATGATCTGCAGTGGGATAGAAAACACTGGTACCCTCAGAACAACTGGAGAAAAATAAATAAGCAGATTTTAGTGATGCAGAAAAGGAATTATACTGAGGAGGGGAGGAAGATGGCAGGAAGGAGAAAAAAATACCTCCTTTTTGCAAGACTGCACAGAACTTGATCTCTTGTATACAGGGACTAAAAATTTAAAGCTCAACTTCAGTCAAATGCATTTCACAATTCCAGACACATCAACATTTTCAGTTTAGGCTATAGTACTGCAGAAAAGGAATAATTCAGGGATACAGAAGCAGGTGACTCTGTCCTGAACCAGAATGTCTCTGCAAACTCTGAGGAAATTTATACCACTGCCTTCAGAAATGTCATCAAAGCACCTTGGTTTTGGTTGCTGTTATATTCTTAATCTCTCTATTCTCTAGCTTGTAGTCTTCCTGAATAATATTATGAACCCTGGATCTTATTTTTGACTGGTTCAATTAAATAGTTCCTTATCACTAAGGGACATCTGATCAAGACAGAAACTAATCATGTGCCTAAGTAATTGGTTACAAAGCTTGTTCCACGTTGTACTATAATTGACTGTCTGCATAAATACACCATAAACAGGTCCCAGTACCTTCCAGATAAGGGTAGATGTTAGAGAAAATCTAATGCAGCAGTCAGTTTCAGGTGAGTTTGGAGGTAAACTACAATATCAATGGGTTTTGTAATCAACAAATTGTCAAGTTAGCTCTGGCAAGTACTTGATCAAAATCTCACTATTTAAAGATAATGAGGGAAGAGGTATCCCTTATTCTCAAATTAGTTTTGATGTTAAGCTCTGAACTTCTACATACAGCATCTCCCTGGGTTTCACAAGAACATTGGTTCAGTTACAACCCAATCTTGCATGTGCTCCTGGGCAGCCTGTGGACACCCGTGTCTTATCTGATGTGGACCACAAGACCTCAACCAGTGTTTGTTGCACGTTTTTTGGTAGCCAAGAAAGAAGAAAGTGGGACAGATGCAGCTTACATCATGCAGAACCCTCTTACATATTTCCCAGTAGATGTAATTGTTACTGCTCTTGTTGTGAGTGACTTATGGACTTTGTGACACCTTTAGTCTATTTGAACAGTGATGTTAGCAGCTTTGGGTTGTTAACTGCTGTATAAAGTACATTACTGCAGGCCCTCTTCCAAGAGGGCATGTAGCAGGCAATTAAAAAAAAAGTGTAACCAATAGGGTTCTCTTCCGGGGGAAGGAGAAAGGGAAGCAGAGGTGGAATGAAACACAGGTGTCATTCCTAAGGTCCTGTGTTGCTCACTGGAGCATGTGTGGTCGGATCTGACACAAACTGAGCTTGTCTTGCTCCTGCAGATAGCAGGACCGGACCCTGCTGACAAGGTATGTGCTCATTCCATAATTTGAAGCAAGAAACTATAGAGGCTCTGAATTTCTCTTTCTGTTACAGGGAAATAGAGCATGGAGACCTAGGATGCACAGTCACTTGTGCAAAGAGTCAACTGAACAAATGTACCCATAAAGATTATGAAGCAGTGCCCCAAGGGAGAACTTCTACTGGCAAGTGTATCCCTCTCAGCTATTGTTTGTAGATTCGCCAAGACTCTTCCCTGTTGGACCCCAGTCCAGATCAGTCTCTCTATGCAGCCACAGTCTTGCCCACTGGCCAATTTAATAACTTTAATTTCTTAAGGGCTAATCTGAATAAAGGAACTTTTTTTTTTTTTAACCCAAACCCCAGGTTAGGACTGGGTCTGCTGTGCTGTGTGTGCAATAGAAGTACAGTGCTGGGTTAGACTGGGTAACTGGTAGCTCTTGCTGTCCATAGGCTGGGCAGGCTCCAGGCAGCCATACAAGATAAAAGATCATCATGTAAGACATTGTCCTAGAAAAGAGAGTGTTCAGAAAGATTTTTAAGTTGTTTTTAATTTCTTTCCCAAGTTTTTTTGGAATGCTAAATCTTTAGGTTTCCATCCTCAAAGATGAAAATAAGTCACATGAATTTCTGATGCTTCATCTGATTTTATTTTAGCTTTAAGATACAGATGTGCACAGACAACAGAATATACTCCCTGGCACTGAAGTGTGACTAAAGAAGAATTAAAATTAGCAGCTAGTGAGGATGCTTAAGAATGTCAGCTTTAATTTCTGTTCTCATGGAAGGAACAGGTCGGTTCATTCTTCATGGGGTAGCAGAAGTCAGAAAAAACAAGGGAGTCTTTTGTGAGTAGATATTCAGTTTTATTATTGTGTTAAGTTTTATGAGTAGATTTCACTCAAGAGCTGCATTTTTCAGTGTTTTTGAGTTTGTGTGAGAGAGAACCCTTAAAACAAAAAAAGGAAATATCCCCCAAACCGACAATCCTTCTCTGTTAGCCCACCCACTCACGGACTGGGCATTCTTTTGAGTGATCATCTTTCTCCACTATTTTATAAGTGCAGGTCTTCTTGTTGAAAATGCTTACACACTTCTGTTCATCATAGCCAGTTGGTGTTAAAAAGCTGTCATTGGGAGAAGAAAGACAAAGAGGTGATGAGACCAAGGAGTAAACATCTTCCATTTCAGTTGGTATCTACACTTTTAATATGAAGAAGTTATACTGAGGAGGTGTTCAGGAGCAAAAAAGGGAGCTCACAGAAAGCTCCCAGATCAAATGTTATTTAGCCTGCTGCTTAAGCAGGATGAGTGGAGAGTTGTAGTTTACTGATATGGTTTAAACCCAATGATGTTGTATTTATTTGCTATTCCAATATAATTGCTTTTTCTCTTCAGTCACAGTATGGAACTGTCTTGGTTTGGGCCCAAACCACGACAGGAACAAAAATTGCATGAGTGGTTGAATGTCACTATAGGAAAAATTGCAGGCAGGCCAGTGTATCTTGAGCTTCTTCTCAGAAAAAAAGAGGGTCAGTATGTGGCTTTGGGAAAATCTGGACTAGGAGCCATAGAAATTTCTTAAGTAACTATGTGTTCTCTCTTGAATCAGTATCTTGCCTGAAATCTTAACCCCAAAAAGAATTAAGTCCTCTCTTTTGTTAATCAGGAATCATTTGTTAAACATAAGCTATATTTGTCAGAGGAACTTTTTGCATGCTCAGTGATGATGGTGTTGGATTAATGCATAACTTTGTGATATGAAGTGAGAGAAGGGTCATAGCTATTTCTCAGGGGCCCCTGTGTGAAGGGAAATGGTTTGCCCTGTATCCTCCACTGCTGCCCTGAACTCACCTGGAGCAGCAGCTAATTCTGCCCTCAGAACAGGAGCAATCAAAGCAGTTATTGGTCCTCCAGCTGGAACCAAATTTATGCAGCTCTCCTTTTGAGTCACGGCAGCCTGAAAACATAGTGCACAAGCAGCCTTCAGCATCAGACCTATTGCACTAACAACGCTATTGCTTGTACAAAATGGGTGGGATTTTTGTTGGCTTTTTACATTAACATTACTGTCTGGAAAACATGGAGGTTCCCAAGCAGAGCAGGACTGCTACTATTCTAACACATGGAGAAAGGTATTCTGGGTTGCTCTGTTTCCTGTGGTTCTCGGCAGCATTGTGTTTCCTGGAGTAGCTCATCTTTAGGTTCAGGAATCTGAGCATGCAGCAGGAAGACTAGTTACAAACCTGGTAAGAATTAGGAAAATACTTTGACTTCCCCCCTCATTAACACCAACTACTATTGGCTCCTCATTCAGAGCAAGGCTAAATCTGCCTAGTAAACTTTTCCCTATCCTGAGCTGCAGGAAGAAAGCACGTGTTGGATATAAAGTTCCTGTCCAACAGTCACAGAATAGACTTCTTAAATAAGTGATCTAGAAATCAGGATTTTATGAGGACAGGACAAGACAGAGTGGAGGATTTGGGGGGGGGTTCTACGTTGTGTCTTTGCCTATAAATATGTTCTATTTCTTTGGCAATGATAACTTATTTTTCTATTTTGGGGCACTCAGTTTATTTTGCATACTGGCACACATCAGCCCTTCTTGTGTCCAAATAATTGCATATTTCTTTTTTTGAGCTCTTCTCTTCCTGAAGCTCCACTCATCTGTAGATTGATAGACTAGCTATGTTCAAGAAGAGCAGTCCCCGACTCATGGGAAGCAGTCATTCTTTTATTAAGAACTTACCTTGGGATAGGGAAACAACTAATGAGTAAATTGGTCGGTGTGTTGAACACTCTCCAATCTGTTTCCTGCTTTATACTGACTATACACACAGATAGACAAAGGCCCTTCTCCTCCCTTCTCTGTATTTCTAAATATGCTGCCATAGTGAAAACATGAATTATTACTTTGTGCAGATAGATAAACTAAGCCTATGATACTTCTCTGGGTGAAATTAATTTGTAATCTGACCTGTATGATACTCCTCAGATAAACTCTTCTTTTTTATAATGTATTATAAATTCTGTGCTCTCCATACCCCATTTTCCCTATATTTTCTAGTGGTTTCTCTCCACTGTTTCCACTTATTTCTAAATTGTGATAAATTGCACAGAACGGACAAATCAAATCAGGCAGTGCTTGTGGTGATGTCTGTCACGTTGAGGACAGTTGACTTCTTACCTGCAATGGCACTGCCAGATTCTAGATTCATTGGCTGAAGGAAGCAAAAAGCATTGGACAGTGGCAGGCTAACAGCAAGAACAAGAAGTCGGGCCAAGATGATTTTCTGAACAAGAAAGCAGAACTCTTATGAATATTCAAGTAGCTATTAAAGTGTCTTGCTAATAAATAGTACCATTAAATACAGGAAAATGCATTGTGGTTTCAAAACAAAATCCAATTGTCTTTTGCAGGTCAGACACTTTAACATGCAATCAGGAATACTGAACCACTGAGAAGAAGTAGAGAACGAGCATCATGTCGGATCTTTCCAAGTCTTTCCAAGCTGTTAAAATCAAGCATTGCCTGATACAGGACTGGTAGACCAGATACTGTCTGTGAAAGGAGTGTGTTCTACTCCTTTCCCCTCCCATTCACTCTTCTTGTCCTTATTTTCTCCATAGGATTGGTTACTGACTATCTCTGCTACTAAGCTCACTCGTAGCTGTAAAAACTTCTTTGTTGGAATCTGAAGAATCTACTGGATGTTTCATCCTAATATTGAAGGAATAGGAACAAGCTGATGAACTTTAGCTGAAATAGAACACTCAAGACTTGGCACTGCTTTGAGCAGGAGGTTGGACCAAATGACTTGAAAGTTTCCATTCCAAACTAGATAATTCTATATTCTGTCACCTTTGTCAGCAGATTTTTCTGAAAGTTCAGCTTAAATTCCTCAGCTAGTATCATACCTTTCAATATTAATTTGAAATGTTTGAAGGGATTTCATTGGGGATATGAAGGAAATAAGTGCCAGAACTCTAGGATGGAATTAGCTGTGATGAATTTAAAATCTTGGTAAGAGAGGAAAGGTAAACCAGGAATAAACAACAACATATACATAAACATACACATATTGTATATATGTGTGTTCATTTTGAACAGAGTAAAACTGATGACTTATAAAAAGTCATACCTGAGAGATGAGAGGAGGAAAAGCTAGCATTTTATTTTGCAGAATAGAGGTTAAAACCCAAAAAACAGCAACAGAGATGCAAATTAGTAAAATTCAAGATAACATTTTTGAGTTTAACTAAATGTTCAGATGTTATCCAGACTTTTCACAAAAATGAAGGCCAGCTCAAGGTTTAGACACAACAGAGCTGCTTTCTGCCAGAAAAGAGATTATCTCCAAGCATTACGTATAAAGGGAAGCAGGTTATAATAAAAAGCCTTAGCTGGAGTCCTATTAGACATCTCCTGCCATATATTTTACCTGAGATTCTTACCTGCCTGTGTCTATCTGTCTGACATTTGCTCCCAAAACACAGAATTTATACTTTCTCCAAGTTGCTTAGATCTCTCAGTACTGAGATAAATCCAACAGAACCTCCTTTAAAATCTATAGTAACATACCATGTTCTTATATAGTATAAGATGTAAGGACTCACCATTCTTGCAGAATTGTGAGGCTTCCAGTAAGAAGACAGCCTCATATTCTCAGAGAATTTATATAGAGAGGGAAATTATGATACCAATCCTTGAGCAAACTGAACATGCATGAATAACTCCAATGAGGTTTCTGCAAAATGACCTCATGGGGTGGATGTTATTAAAACAAGCCAACTATATACAGGAAGCTTTGGTTCTAAAAGGCACTGAAGAAATAGGTGTGGCTTTTGTGCCACACCAGATCTGGAAGGCAGTTCTGAGAAGTACATCAAAAGGAATTTCAAACCTGGAAGAAATATTTAGCACTTGCCCTGAGAAACCCATTAGAGACACTGTGGTTGTCACTCACAACAGAATTTGCATGCTTGGTTTGAACCATCTAGGTTTTAAAAGAGAGGATTTTTGACCAAATATTCAACTTTCTTGTTCATCAGCTGAAGATGAAAGAAGATTCTTGAGGAAATGGAATGGTGGTTGGAAGGGTTGCCTGTAAAGCAGAGTTTCTGTGGAGAGTGGCTGGCAACTGTAGGCCCTTAGAAAAGGGTCCTAGATAACCATTTTCTTACTTGTTCAGTTTTTCATCATGTAGAAGACCCATATGCTCAAGTCCTCTGTGAAAAAATAGGCATTGTATATTTTCTTCCTTAATCATTGTAGCCAGAGAGAAATGGTCCCTTTTCTGCAGAGGCTGTACACTACTTACAGGGACACCTTAGCTGACTTTCAACTCAGTAGATTGGGTAAATCAGTTTTTCTTCAGTTACCAGACCTTTCTTCAGGGTAGCAGAAAAGAGCTGAAGTGCTTACAGTTGTTCATAGGTTTGATAAAACTGCCCACAGTCAGCCTATCACTAATAAGTTAGATTTGGCAATGCTGATGTATGCACTGCCCTGAAACAGATGATTAACACCACAGCCACATGGCTGATGCCCAGGACTCCCAATCACCAGTAAACCAACAGAACATGCCAGCCCATGAGTATAGGCACTAGAAATTTCTTTACTGACACCGACAGAGCCCGCATATTCCCTTTGAATCTCTCACAAATATGTATGAAGCCTATGTATAACAGCATCATTATGGTTTGGGTTACTGTCAGTGTTTCAGAGGAGATATTTCAGAGCATGTGCATTTTTCTATTAGAGCAGGGAAAAGGGACTTTGTTATCCTACTAAGTAACGCACCCTGATACTAGCCCAAAGCTGCCTTTTATGTTGGTTGCAGTGAAAATGGGGAGAGGTCACACTCTCCCTTCCAGTATCCTGTTCCTAAGCTGCCTGACCTAACTGATTTACATTTGTGGCATGGCTAAGGATGGGCCCTAGCCTTGCATGCCTGCTCTTAGTAACATTTATGTGCTGAGAGCAACAATTTCACTTTGGCTGGCAGTACTGTGGGAAGTACCACAGAGTCCTGTTCAAGGTATTGTCTTCTTTAGGTCCTCAAAAGTAATCTGTAGCAAGTATTCCATAATAATTTACAAAAAAAGAACCATGAAATTGATCCTTGATTCTGTTGATATTACCAAGCTATTGAACTTTTTTCTTCTTGCATGTTGTGGAGTTTGCATGCAATATTTTGCTTGACAGGCACCCTGCAGCAGCTCTTGTATGTGAACAAAAGTCACCAGACACATAGCAATTTGTGATGCTGGTATACTGGAGTGAAACTGGTGGAATTTGTTACAGCCTGCTTGTTTGGTGCTGAGTGACAGAGAACGTGTTCCTCGCTCAGTTACAAAAAAAGAAGAATCAAACCAATGCGCCTGTGTGTCTTCTCTCAACTTTTCCAGAAATCAGTGACTGCCCAGCTATTCCAATTGCAGAACACTCCTTGTTTTCTAGGTGCATGCTACGCCAGGTATGGAGAGAAGTTCTTGTAAGCAGCTTTCTTTGGAATGCATCAGGGAGCGACCTGCCTAAGCCTGGGCAGTTTCTAGGGACAGTGAAGAAGCTCTTTGCGTCATCTGTGAACTCAGGGGACCCTAACAACATGCTGTGGTGTTGAAATCACTCACAGCAACAAACTCTATGTAGATAGTCCATCATAAGGTCATTTGTGGCCCATATTATGTTGCATTTCTTCTTCATTTGTTCATGTACAGGATGATAGGTACCTTTCTTGTGTGAGGAACAGGTATCTCCAGCAGACATTGCTCTGTTGAAATCTTGTCTTCCCAACCAGTTTATTTATTGCTAAAAACATTCTAAGTATATCAATGCTCTGCCCAATTCTGTGCCCTCTTTCCACTTATGCTGATGAATAGAGTATCCTGTTTCTTCCTAAGGTGGGGGAAAATCTTGGGGACTTTCCTAAAGATTTACCTCACTATTTTACTTAGTCATTCTTCAGATGGGATTTCTGGTTACATCTCACTGATGACCACAAAGATAATGAGAGTAATGCAAGATTATCAGTCTTGTTTTTTCTGTATCTTTCAGTGCTATGCAATCAACAGAGAAAGATACAGCATTATTTCAGAGCAGTAATGTTATTTTTAAAAAACAATAAACTAAATAATATCTATGAAAAGCATTATTTTATGAACAACTTAAATCTATAAGAGATGCACTAGAATGAAAGCAGTCCAGGAACCTTTTTTCTTAATCCATTGTTTCAGTACTCCTCTCACATTCTTGAGAGGGATCAGCTTTCTGCAGGAAAGAGTAAGTGCAGGACTCCTTATAGAAGACAGTCATGTATCCAGTCATTAAAACCAGTAGGTTGACTACCACCGCCATTGAGAGGGGGAAAGCAAGAGGAAGCATGAGGCTTATCAGTTCACATATCATAAGTAAACACAACTTTACAAATAAATTCATCTTGACTTTAAACAAAGCTGTGTATAATGTACATTGGTGTTTTATAATTGTTAAACAAAGTCTGCCACATTTGCATGTGAGAAAGGACAACTGTTTTAAGGAAAAACATAAGCAAACAGCACTAAAATATACAGTGCACTGTTGACACAGAAACATATTGTAAATGTGGTAGAAGAAAGTTTTATCATGGTGGGAACAATTTTGTTAACTCTGAGGTTCATATATCCACAAACCTCAAAGCCTGTGCCCTCGGATCTCCCTTGGCATAGGAATTAGTAAATAATTATATTAATTTTACAGGTAAGGGGCACAGATGGTGTGAGTAACTTGTCCCAGGTAACACATGGCATAGCAGAAATTTGAACTGAGGTCTCAATTCAAGATGGGAGGCTCAAGCTGGAGACAACAATGTAATTTGTCCCCTGATCTGAACACCCCTGTCTCTTTCCATATGTAGCAGAGTCCCCACACTTGTGCCAAATTTCAGTTTTAATTCAATGCAATTTCAGTGGGCTGCAAAACAATTCATTTTTTTCCCCACTTAGTTTTGTGGGTAAGCAAAGATCCCTCTGGTTAAGGCACAAGTGCATTGTTTTTAAAACATGATAATTCCTCGGCTAGTCTGGAAAATCATATCAGGTCATGATCCCCAGATGAAGGATCAATGCTAAGAAAGGGACACAGAGACAGACAAGATCTAAGGAACCAAACACAAATGCCAGGCTGTGTAGGAGACCTCCATCTCTGCAGTGTGAGTAGCACTGAGGAAGATAACCACAGATATTATAGCAGCGAAGATAAAAGTCCAGAGGCAATAAAACAAAACAGATAAGGAGTGACAGAGCTAGCTAAAAAGAGATCCCAAATTTATAGCAAATGCAGTATTTCCTACACTTCTAACTTTCAACTCAAGCCACATTGTAACAAAAAGATCTTAAAAATCTTCAACGGATCAGAAAATGACAGGAAAGGTTATTCCAGAAACACAATACTGACTCTGAACACAGCTTGTTATCCTGATGCTGAAGCTGATTAAGCAAATTAAGATCATAAGTCTGTGAGAAAGTAAAGAATTTTTGATGGAGGTGTGACTTAAGGAGTTAGCTATAGAAAGGTTGGCTGGTGGGAGTATTGCTGTAATTCTTGCTACTGGTGCCTCTGGCTTTGTGGAACCTACATGGTACAATAGTGGACCCTGCTCTGGCCACACTGGCATTGAAAGCACACCTTTAGTCCTCCAGGTGGCACCAATTTGATATAGTCTTAAGCCTTTAACACAACCTGCACATTCATGCACAAAATAAAAGGGGGCTTCGTTTCAGTTTTATAATGTCAGTTACTTAGTTCAGCGACCTCTGGGCTTTTTTGGGGGGGAAAGCTCAGTTAATTCTGTGTATACCCCACCTACACTGTATTTCAGCTCTATTTGGAGAGCATGAGCTTGTTTCCATTTTCTAAACATGTTAGTCACTAATTCCATGAAGATGAAACACAGTGGTTAGATATTATTGCTGCATGGATTTAGAACAAACTGACGTGAGGAAGGCAGCCACAGAATGCTTCAGCCAAATCCATGGGATATCCTGAATATCTTTTATCTTTTTTCTTCTCTGCTGTTTTCCACTGTCATGTATAAAATCCTGCTTCCACCCATTTATTTTACAATACCCTGCCTGTCTGTTCCTGTTGGGCAGCAATTAGAAGGTCAGCAATTAGAACAAAATAACATCAAGAGGGCTGTTGTGTCTCTCATCTCTAGCAGGTTTCACCAGAATTGTGCCTGGGCTGTTTAGTTTGTAATACCACTATGCATTCCATAATGGTGTCAAGAATGAAGCCCAGGAAACACTGCTGTAAAAACCCCACAATGTCTGGGACTACTTCTTGAAAGTATTTTAGCAGTTTCTGAGAACATACTAGTGCTAGGAGAATTGCTTTTGCCCTCTGAGAAAGTAAACAGGAATCACAGCACCTGAAAGGGTAGAACATTTAACAGTCTTAATGTAATTTTTTTCACAAAATGACAGCTAGCATTTTATTTTTGTTATTCCTTCAAATGTGAAATGTATTGCAGCTCAAATGCATGTATCATATTGCCATGGCTCTCTGATCACATACATGTCAACAGATTGACTCCAAATGCTAAGAAATCTTAAGAATCTGAAATTTGGACTTATCATGATAACAATGTGTTGTTTGTTAGGAGCTCATGTATGGCCTCTCTGGTGTTTCCTGCAAGAGGAATATAAAGGGCAAAAACTTATTCTTCGGTGTCTTACCAGGCAAATCAAACACAAAAATATTTCAGGTTTGGAGAGGTTCTGTTGGGATTTCTGAGGAAGTTACTGCAATTTGACTAGTAATCAACAAGCAGTTTCATTGCTGTGAAGGACAGAAAGCTGAACCAGTACATTTCAATGTTTCTGCCCTGCACATTCCCCTCATCTTTAGTGGTACACAAATAATGAAAAGGATTCAAAACAGACAGTGAATGATATAGCGCCCTGATTTCCTGCAGCTGGATCATCTCATGAATGCAAAAAAAAAAAAAAAAATTTACATGTGGCAATTCTGTTAAGCATTTTGCCTCTCAGTAGGCAGGCTTTCTGGTTTATAGCAAGAGATTCAAGATTCCTGAGATTCACTGCTAAAATAGTTGTATTTAGGGGGAAAAAAAATAGTTTCAGTAGTGCCAGCTGCTCTGGCAATAGAAAACTCAACACAATTGCATATTGAAACTAAAAGCTCTCTTTTTTTAAAACATTGGAAGGAATTTATGGGTTTCAGTGAAACCAGACTATTCTCTGGAGCCTCTAGATCAGTTCTCTCTACACTTCCTTGGCCTGGTAAACTCACCAGAATTTATTTTCTTGCTTCTCTGGTGTCAGCTCTTGTTTGTGCTGGGTCTGTTCAGATTCTGCTTCAAGTATGTGTGGTGGAGTAGGTGCTCTTGCAGTGAAAAATGGGCTTCCTCATTCACGGATAACTTCTGGAAGGATATGCTAATCATATTGCTCAAATGTGCTGGTTCTTCCCAGTCCCATAATGTTAAAGAATTTATTAAGTGTGAGATCCAAAGCCTATGCTAGACTTCCTGTGTCATTCACTCATAATTTTACTGGTGCTGTCAGCAAATCAGAAACCTTCTTGCATTGAGAAAGTTGTCTTCATCTGTCAGAAAATTGGCACCTAGATTCTACAGAAACTCTTGGGACTCTAGAATGTAATAAGGCTCTGAATTATGAATAAATAAAGGTCCAGATAAGGTAATAAGTAGAATGAAATTCTATGTAATTTAGCAGTGAAATAATTATCTGTAAATCACTTAAAATATGAAGTCTTACTGAGGAAGTACTAATATTAAGAACATGAATGTGACCTTATGAGATTTTCATACATTTTAGAAGAAAAACGTAGTCTTAATTTGTAAAACTCTGGTAGATAAAAACTTGGAATACTGAAATAATTTCAGTGTCACATGGCACAGTTCCAGACTACAACAAACTGAATGTTAATATTGATGTGTGCACTTCTCAGTAGTTCAAATTAAAAAAATAATCTGTGAGGAACCTCCAAGTCACTTTTGTTAGCCATGAAAATGTTTATTTTTAAAGCTAGGATTAAAAAAAAAAAAAAAAAAGAAACCTGATTTTTCTCAAGAAACAGTTGTGTGAGTTATTTAGGTAGGAAGTTAGGATCTCCATGCTCAAAATATTACTTCCTCTAAGAAGCTGCAGCTGTTTGTTCTGTAAGCAATAACATTCCTTCAAGTACAAGCTGAGGCTGTGTTCTGTGTAATTTTGACATGAGTTGGCAGAAAAGGGGAAAAGTCATTCAGGACAAGTTTCAAAACTGTACCTCTCCTGCAGGATTCGAAAACTCTTTGGAGAAGACTTACCTTAGAACCTTAAGGAACATGAGAACATTCATTTCCACATGCTGCTGTTTAGAGGAATGACATGATTAAATCAGTGAATGGAAGTCAGATTTTAAAAAGGCATAGGCAAATGCTTATACTAGAAAAAAACTGAACTGACTCTAATTCTGGCCCCTTACATTTTTTCAGCTTTGCAGGAATCAGTTGTACAGAAACACAGAGTTACTGACTGATATCCAGCCTGCAGGGTAAAGAACTTTAAAAGGCTAAGTATGTAATACCAGTGCTTGCAAAATGCTTGGATTTTTTTCCCAAAAGGAGCTATCTTAAGTGAAGCTGTAAGAAAGTTTAAAAGTGTTCATAGACAAATTACCAAAAACAGAGCCAGAGAAAACATACCAGGATAAATCCTTCTGATTTTACTGATGGCTCACAGAACTTGAGATGGATTGTCTTGAGAAACAAGTACCCCTGCTGAATAAATATAGGCTGACAATTGATTTTCAGCCAAGTGAGTATCCCAGATCTAAGAATTTTCAGCTGTGTGTAACCTCATACTTTTACAAGACAACAAACTTATCATGATTATAGAGCATCACTAAACAGTCCACTTGTCCTGGAAGACGTGTTTCTTTTCCAACCATACAACAGCTAACTAGAGACTGTTGTCATTTTTTAATACCCAATTCTGGAGCAAAGAGGCCATATAGAAGTAGCATTTTATAAGGTATTGTTGCCTGGTCTCCTATATGTGGGCAGATTTATGGTATTACCAATTGCCAGGGAGGGACATTCCATGCTGAAGCCCATCACTGACCAGACTTCTCTCCCCAGGGAATATGGGGAATTTTTATACTGAAGAGACAGAAGGCATCTGACTTTTATTAGTACCTCAAGCTCTGCTACCATGAGGAAGCATGTTTCCAGGGGCTTATCTAGACCTCTTTTTCAGTTTGGGCAAGAACCACTAATGCAGCACAGTGTGTGCAGACCGTCAGGAGTGGGGCTTGGAGGAGGACTGTCCTGGGTTTGAGTGGTGGGGTTTTTTGGTAGCAGGGGAGGGAGCTATAGGGGCGGCTCCCTGTGAGAAGCTTCTTGAAGCTCCCCCAGCTCCAAGTCAGCTCCACCTCTGCTCAAAAACTGAGCCAATCAGCTGTGCCTCTGCGATAACATATTTAAGAAGGGATGTGGTGACGAGCAGTGGGAGTTGTGAGGAGGAGTTGCGGCAGCTGCGTGAACACCAAGGTCAGTGGAAGAACGGAGGAAGAAAGGAGGAGGGAGGTGTGCCGGAGCAGAGACCCCCCTGTATCCTGTGGTGAGATGGCAGGGCAGCCCCCCCCCCGCCACCCATGAAGTTCTACAGTGGAGCAAACATTGATTTACGGCCTGTGTTTTTTCACCTGGATGATGAAGGTGATTGTGCCCTAAGAAGGCCGGGGTCTTGTGGGAAAAGGTAGAGTGCTGCTGTAATTCAGTGCTGGGAGGATTGCAGAATGCGGGAGTGACTCACACCCGAGCATCTAGGGAAGGGCTGCAGCCCGTGGGAGGGAATCCAGTTAGAGAAAGTTAGCGACTCACAATGGAGCAGTGTGGGGAACGCTGTGTCTCATGGGAGGGACTCACGTCGGAGAAAGTTTGTGGAGGACTGTCTCCTGTGAGAGGGGGACCACGATGGAGCAGGGGGAAGAAGTTCCAGAAGCTCCCCCCACCGAAGATGGAAGAACCAGCAGCACTGACTGCACCCCCCCTTCCCTGTCCCTGCACCATTGGGGGGAGGAGGTAGAGATATCGGGAGCAGAGCTGAGCCCAGGAAGAAGGGAGGGGTGGGGGGAAGGTGTTCTCAAGATGTGGCAATGCTTCTCACTGTCCTACTCTGTTACATGCTGTTAGTGTCTGTAAGAAATATATGTTCTTTTTTCCTTCCCCTAACGAGTCTGCCTTTTGCTCGTGACCATAAAGGGTGATTTTTTCACCCATCCCAGTCCTATCTCAAACCCCAAGCCTGGCTCTCTGTCCCTTCTTATTGCCAGAAGAGAAGGGAGAGAGAGTGACTGCGTGGTGGTTGGCTGCCAACCAGGCTCAAACTACAACAAAGACACCTGGCAGCAGGTCAGAGTGGCCAGTGGAGAGGAACAGCCGCTGCTGTTGGGTAATAACATTGCTGAAAAGAAGGTGGATTAAAAAAAAAAAAAAAAAAAAGGAGAAAAAAGATGATAATCTTCCATCCTCACTGTTTTTTCAGAGTTCACAGGTGTTAGCAGCAAAGGTCTTGCCAAAACTCCTGCAGCTCTTCAAGTGTGCCCTGTGCACCCTGAGTATGAGCCATTGTATAACATGTCCCAAACAGTGCATCCCTTCCAAATGATAATGGATTTTGACACCTGGTGGGCTAAAAATATCTGCTCTGACCCTTGGCTAGTACAGAACCTGCAAAGCATGAGAGCATCTTGTGCCAGGGTGCTGATGCATGAAATGTCAGAGTAGTGAGGTGAATACATTGATTTCTAAAAGAAGGTGACATTGACCCATTTTATTACATAAAAAGAAGCAGCATTATGAAGTGTTTCTGGATGTTTCATCTGGATTTATTTTATTCAAAAAAGCTCAGTGATACCAATGCAACTAATGACTGAAATGAGACATTCTATTTGATTATGCACCTTATATAGTGAATTAGAATAATTAGGAGATTAGAAGTGAGCTCTCTCTTACAAGATCTCCCATGTCTCTGAGCTTCTCTGTGATGGCAAAGCATCTATAGGAAGAGGAGGAATTCCACAGTGCAGAGACATTCAGAGCAGATGGGTTGTTAGCCCACACGAGAATAGACAACACACTCCTTTGAGGGGTCACTCTTCTGCACCACGTCATAGTCACAGCTTTGCTTGTTGAAAATTACTTTACAGTTCTCTTTGTCATAACCAGTAGGAGTATGAAAGCTGTCATTGTCAAAGAGAAAGCAAATGTTAGATTGAGAGCAATAAAAGATTCAGTACTTCAGTGGTTCAGTGATTATAGCTTGAACTAATGCTGAGTGAGATATCTCTGAGACTATGGGTAAGAGCAGCCTAGTTAGCTTGAGCGCCACACATATTCCAAGACCTCAAATGATGTTTTGCGACACTGTGCTGTGTACATGTACCAGTATGCTCAGCATTGGCATAGGGATTTCTAGCACAGCACCCTACAGTGTAACATGGTCTTGATCTGTTTAATCTCTTCTTCACTACTGCCAGTTTGCTTAGAATGTAGTAGCTGTTTCCTGATAGATTGAGTGTCACCTGAGCAAAGGTGATGATCATAACTAAGGTATTTTGGCTCTTTGAGAAGGTAGGGTAAGAGGAAAGGAAGATGATGGAGATAGATACTTTGGATCAGAGCCTTGTCACTCTAGGGTCAGCATATTCACTGGAGAAAAGCACCTCTGGTAAGTGATTCAGATCATCATAAGTCCTTTAGAGGACCTTCACTTAAGTCCCTTGTGGAATTAATCCTTTCCTAGCCCCAATCTTCCTGCCAAGGAAAGGCCTAACTGCAGTGTAAGAGGGGTTCACAGGTTCCTCAGAATTAAAGGCAAACACCAACTGGATGTGTCTAGAAGGACCTGTGTCCACTCTCAGCAGAAAATTAGCTAAGGTAAACATGGCCAAGGATCCAAATGATCAAGAGTTGTATGTGGCTTGCCGTAGCTCTGTGACATGGATGAGGAAAAGCTCTCTTGTGCCCTTAGAAACTCATTTGTCCCCAGCAAATGGAAAGCTGTGATCTTCCTATGGGCAATGATGCTACCAAGAAGTTCAAACTTACAGGGAGCAACAACGTATTGCATCTCGGCTGCAGCTGCATCTGAAACAGTTTGCTGTCCTCTCAGTCTCTCCAAATGGGTATACTTTTCCATTCAGCACACAGCCTGCATAAGACATCAGCAAAACAAAACATGTTCTTTAAGCCTCCACATAAAGGCTGAAGAGTTTAAAAATGATTTCAAGTTTTAAAAAAATTATTTTCTTGGCACTAGTAAGGTAGAAGTCATTTTGTTCTCCAGGTTATTACCCAGACTATTTTGAGAGCCTGAACTTGTTTCTTCTTCACTTGTTAGAGACAGTTTTAGTGTGACAGATATGGGATGAAAGAGAGTAACCAAATAGCAAGATCTGCCACCTGACACCAGACTATTCAGAACTATTCTCAACTGCATCAGCTCCATATGCTGGAACAACAATAGCAACCTATCACCAATAGACATAATATTGTGGCAACCATACCCAGTCCAGGGCAAGACTTTGGTTTCCCTACTTTTGGCAACTTGGTAATGGAACCTCCTATTTGTGTCTTTCTGACATCTCCCCCCTCCCTTGTATTTTGAGCCCTTCATGGCAGCTCCACATAGAACCGAGCTACCACAGAACAGTCAAGTGAGAGGACCTTCTCTGTTCTTACCTTCATCAGTATACGGTGGCTTGTTAAGCTTAGAAAAGCAGTATGCATCACCCAGTGTCACAGTGATGCCCATTGCAACAAGGAAAGCCAGAAAGCTCTTCTGTAAAAGAGATACAGAGCCCATGGCATAAATTTAATTCCACTTTGATCATCTTCATTTTCAAGAGCTAAATCACTAAATCTGAAGCAAAATTAGAAATAACCTTATGTATATATGGAAGTGTTGGGAAAGGGCATCCAGGTATTTCACTGCATTGATGACTTTTTCCTAGGTGGGAAGAGAAAAAATGATATGACATAAATGTGTCAGCAGCGTCACTCCCTGTCAAAGTCCAATCTCCAGAAATCACAAAAAGTTTTAATAGTATTATACACCTGAAAGTCTTGTCAGACACTTACTAGTGCTTTATTTATTGCCTTTGAGTCAGATTTAACTCTTTCTCTAGCAAATCACTGTCTGTGTAGTATCCCATTGCTTCGCTTTTGGCTACAGCAATTTCTCCAAGTTTGGCAGTGTAGTGGAGATCTCAGACCTAATTATATTCTAGTAAGTTTTTGAAATAGGTGACTGAGTAGAGAAGAGGCACAAATTTGTGTCTTAGGGTAAAATTCCAGTGTTTTACATTCTGCTTAGCAGCTCATGAGCCATTTTGTCAAAGCATGCACACACAGGTCTGGACATGTCACAGTACACCCTTCCTTTTGTCTAGTGGTGACAACAGCTAAGCATCTCTAAATGTTTTTCAGAGATGTCCACTGCTGAACAACCAGGACTTTTTTGAAAACATCTGTTTAACTTTATAATTGCAGTTATTTCCTGGGGTAGAAGGACTGAAGCAACATGAGAGAGCACAGTGTTATTTTGATAGGCTGCTCAAGCTAGATAATTTAAGGCAAAAGTTTTGGAATGGCCAGAGACTGAGAAGCAATGGAGGAATCTATTTCAATTTTCTTGATAACACTTGCAGATTAAGATGAAAGGACTGTAAACTGAGTAGATCTTTCCAAGTTACTGTTCTGAACTCCAGATACTGGTGCTACTTGAACCCGGGGTTTAATATAGCAGAAAGGCTTTGTTTTTAGGCAGCTCTGCTGTCTACCTTGGGTTACTTGAATTATGAATGTCAAAAGACGCTGAAAGGTCCTGAACCTTAGGCAGATGGTGAACCAAGGGGAATCTCCTCTGCCTGCTGTGGAAAAAAACTTGCTATTTTAATCCTTGATGTGCTGCTTTCTTACAGGGATAAGGAATATTTATGGTGTAGTTAAAGGAAGGAGGAGGGACTATGGAATGGTCTGGGAAGGGTGTAATGCTTAATTTTCATAGTGATTTTGTGATTCAGAGTTCCTGAGCCTTTGGGGTAGAATATAGTCAGTTGCCATGCTGAGCACCATAGCCAGAATGAGAGAAGTTAAGAAACAAGACTGAAACTCAAACTGTGCTATTCTGTGGTGCCCGGCCAAAGGAAAATTGTTTAAGCAACTCCTGTTTCCTGAAGTTGTTGGATGTAACATTGCAGCTGGTCTCTGCTGAGGCTCCACATGCATTTGGCATGGAACTGTGGGGCTATCTGTGCTGTGCAGCTGTGCAGCTGTCCATGGATTTGCGAGCTCAGGGCATTGTAGCTTTCCACAGGGATCTCAACATGTTTGGGATACTGATTGCTGTATATTAATCATCCATCTTGAGTTGTGTGGTGGTTTTTCTCCAAACTGGTTCAGGTGTTTGCAGCAGCACAGGCCAGTTCTACCAGAGGTCTTACTGCTGTCACTTATGTCTTCATAGAAAAGACTAAAATCCTTCTTTTGCTGTGCTGGGCTGTCTTCAGTGAATGTTTTATCCTTTGTTTTCTCCAACATTTGTCCTTATCTTGCTATTCCTAGAAATGCCAGTCAGATGAACTTAGGCATGCTTCTCTCTCTAAAGACCTATATTCTGGACCTTTCACTGAATCTAAACAGAAGCAGAAAGACAAGTCTGTGGCATCTAATCACTGTTTGAACTGACTTTATGATGGGACAACCAAAGGATATGTTGGTTAAGCAACAGATCATTAGCAGTAAAGGGCCCACATGTAAGTAAGCTGAGCACAGAGAGTATCAAACAGGTAAGAAAGCACTGGCAGAAACAATATCCTTTATTAAAAATGACAGAGATTATTACTGCTACACTGATGCCAAGGGCTCTTAGTTAAACATTAGAGTTGTGTTCTGGGCAGTCTGTGTGCAATGCACTTGAAGGAATATTTTTTTTTTTGTTTGCTTGTTTGCGCTCTTAAAAAGGGAATTCCACCAGCCATCTTGCAGAACAGAATCTTCCAAATTGGATTTAATGGCCTTTGAAAGTGCGTGAATTAATGTGGAATGAGATACCAGATAATTTTGTTCAACTAAGTCTTGTCTGAGTATAGATAAACCTTCATGAAAGTTTAGGCATAGAAAGAAGTAGATGATAATTTCTCCCTGTATTTATGAATCTACATATATTACAGAAACTACTGCTCCTTATGTAAAACTTATATAATTGCTGAGATTCTCATCAAAGGTAGTAATTGATGTCTCTACCTTTGGGGATTATGTGAGCATATATTAGAGAAAAACTGGGCCATAGGGATTTTTCTGTCTATTTTGCATTACCTAACAGTTGGTTCAGATTCTGAAAACACATTTGGAAGCTTGAAGAGCAGAAACAGGACACAACTTGATAGATAAAAGAGAAATTTAGACAAAAACCACTGTATATTACACTTTTCATTGTAAAAGGAATGTATTTTAAACTGTATTTCACATCGATAAGTTTCAAAAGCGTGGTCCTGTATTTTTACAAAATTCTGAATATCTTCACAGATATTTCTGCTAAAAGGATAACAGCAAGTGAAACACCAAGAGGTGTATGTGTACAGTTTCTTGCAATGAATTACAAAATGAAGAACAAAATTCATAGTAATCTTCACAAAGGTGTCTTACTTCCTTTGCATCTTGCAATTTTTTAATAGAATATATACACATTTTAAAATGTGTCATTAGGTGATTCTCTTAAATATCCTTCTTTTGCAGTTTTAAAGAAAATATCTATCTGTATCCTCATTTTTTATTTTTTTTTTTTTAAATTAAAAATTTGACTTACCATTGTGGAATGCTCTGCTTCTGAAGAGCTCCAAGTCTCCAGAACTCTGCAAGTGCTTTATGCGGAAGCTGAGAGCATATATCTTATGATGTCTTTATGTTGAGTAATTCAATCATAGAAAAAATAGCTTACTCAACTGCAGTTATGTTGAAATTTCTGACGAAATCCCTGAAATCTTGCCAGCAGGCAATGATAAAATGTTTGATTCTGTAGAGTATTGATCTGGGTAAAATGCTGAACCCAGAACTTTGTATTTCTTGGAAGCATTACAATGAGAAGTGCCTTTCTTATGGAATACAAGTATTGATAGCTAAGTTGTAAGCAGTATTGTACAGTTTAGTGATTTTTAGCTGTGGCAGGAATGTATGCTGACCACTTCTGCTATCTGTGGGCTGGAATATGCTTAGAGTAAGGAACTAAGCATTAATAGTTTAGGGAGCTTTTGCCAGACTTTTGCATACTCATGTTTTTAATGCCAAGGTGTGCACTGTAACATAACTGAAGGTACTTGGCCATTACCAGTATTAAAATCTTTTAACAATCAGATCTTAGTCAAACCTGGATCACATTACAAAATTTCTCTTTCTCCTCAACTAAAATAAGGATTTCCTCTCAAATCAAAAGCCTGTTGTTGCTCCTGTGGGACTGTTCAGGCTTTGACCTGAATAACTGTGACAAAGTATATTATCACTTTTATATGTGTGAAATACTTTCACAAGCAGTAATAAATTTCAGAGTGCTAATCAAACACTCTGCTTTCTCTTGCTCCTGCAACCTTTTTTTCAGAATGAAGTAACAGAATGTGACCCTACCTATGTTTCAAAGAGAAGCACTTTTTTACAGGTGATGGCAAGCAATTTGAAACTTGCTCTGTGGGAGATTTATCACCAGCTACCGGAAACTTGACATATGATTTCAAGATTACGTTTAGAAACTTTAGGCAAATAAATACAATAAAATTTGGCTGTACTGCAAACTAAATAATTTGGGATTTTAATTTTTGTTTTGTTTTCTTCTGTTTTGTTTTTTTGGGGGGGGAGGAGGGGGTTGTTAGAGTAAATTAAACAGAGTTGTAAATACCTTGGAATGGTGGCAAGAAAAGTCGTCATTCATTTCCTCCTGTGCACTATGTATTTTTGAGTACTAACAACAAATAATTCGGGTTTTGGATTTATTTAATCCAAAGAATTCAGCAGGAGTAAAGAAAATGTAAGTACATAACATAATTCCATGACCGTCTTGGAGGAAATGCTGAAGTTGAATTCTGTACAGGAGAGTAACTGGCAGAGAGAATGGGCAAAACATGGACTGAACTCTATTAGCAGAATGATCTTTGGAATTTCTGTTGTTGTACCTGTGGTGGAGGGACAAAGGGTGGATTTTGTTTACTGTGTTTTGGTATTGTGGTAATGTTATTTTTATTTTGGTGTGGGGAAGGTTTTTTTCTTGTTTTGTTTTGGGTTTTTTGTTGTTGTTGTGTTGATGTGAATATTGGTCTTGTGTAGTGAATGTGGATTTTAATAACAATTCTTAAATACGTCATTCACAGAGGTGAGGTGTGGAATGTGCTGTGTTTGTGTGTGTGGCAGGGGATTTTGGTAGTGGGGGAGGGGACTACAGCGGTGACCCCTGTGAAAGCTTCTTGAAAGCTCCCCTTGCTCTAAGTCAGACCCACCTCTGCACCAAGGCTGAGCCAATTAGCGATGGTGACTGTGCCTCTGTGATAACATATTTAAGAATGGAAACCTGGCAGGAGTTGGAGTTGTGAGGAGGAGTTGCGAGGAGGACACCTATGCAAACACTGAGGTCAGTGGAAGAAAGGAGGTGAAAAGGGGGGAGGTGTGCTGGTGCAGACACCCCCTTGCAGCCCGTAGTGATACAACAGGGCTGCCCCCCCCCGCCACCTATGGAGGTCCACAGTGGAGCAGACTTCTGCCTGTGGCCTGTGGAGGACCCCATACCAGAGCAGGTGATTACACCTGAAGAAGGCCAGGACTTTGTGGGAAAAAGCCTCCATTGCTGTAGTTGGGAGGACTGCAACACATGGGGGTGACCCACGCCAGAGCAGCTAGGGAAATGCTGCAACCTTTGGGAGGGACTCGTGTCAGAGAAAGTTTGCAGAAGACTGTCTCCTGTGAAAGGGGAACCACGCTGAAGCAAGGGAAGAATGTGAGGAGTTCCACCCTGCCCCTGAGTAGGAAGAAGTAGCAGGACTCACTGCACCACCATTCCCTGCCCCCTGTGCCACTGGAGGGGAGGAGGTAGAGAAATCTGGAGCAAAACTGAGCCCGGGAAGAAGGGAGGGGTGGGGGAATGTGTTTCTAAATGTGTTTTTAAGATGCGTTAATGTTTCTCACTGTCCTACTCTGTCTGTTAAGTGTTGTTGTTGTTAGTGTTGTTAGTCTGTCTTCTGCCTGTGACCATAACAGGTGAGTCATCCCTCCTTGTCCTTATCTTGATTCCTGAGCCTTTTGCTTTATTTTCTCCTTCCCAGTGCTGATGAGGGAGATGGCATGAAGGGGGAAGTGAGCCACTGCGTGGTGCTGTCCTGTGGGCTCAAACCATGACACTAAGCATTCAGTTTTACAGTCTATACACCTGGCTTTTTTGTTGTTCTGATATAATCACTACATGTTTTAAAACTTTCATTTCATGAAAGCCATGCTTATGTCATTTAGAGAATTCAATAAATTTCCTTTCTCATCCTTTGCTTCCAGAATACTAGATAATAGTACTTTATCATCAAAATCTTCCTCTTGTCTGTGTTTACACAGTGTCAAGTCAGCTTGTAACTTCTCTCAGGTGAGTACAGTGGTTTTGGTCTTCAGTGGTGTAGCAGAGATTTCCTTTCATTCTTGTAATCCATTTCTGAACAGTCTTGAATCTGACAGTATTTCATTTCAAATCTGAGTATAGAAGAAAGTATGAAATCTTGTAAGTGTTGTGGAAATGAACCCAGATACTATGAGGGATCACATCTGCTGTCTTAAGCACAATATTGTTCTAGATACAAAACATTTGCTTTCCATCCTTAAATTCTTCTCAGGGGCACTATTGCTAATAGAGATTTTATGTTTTGCAGAGTTTTAAAAAATTCCTATTCCCACAAAATTAAAAAAAAAATCTCTAAAGCATGGATTAGAAGAAATTTTCTAGGACCTTCTAAAAGGCAGATTGATTTGGGATGATGGAAAGGAAGGTGATACCATTTACCCTTGTCCTGTCCCCACAATCCTGCTTCATGTTCCACCAGCAAGTTGCAGTTCAAGGCAGTCTATTGTTACCAGGCCATTTGTAGAGTGTGTTTTTAGGGCTGGAGAAAGAAATGCCTCATTCCTTTGGTTTCACTTCCAGGCTATTTAAAAATCTTCTAGTTAAATTGATCCGCTAGTAAAACCTAGCAACGATCTTCCTTTATTTTAAGTGTAGTAAACTTAATGTCAATTTACACCTAGCAATAGATTTTAGTAGCAGTTTGGTAATAGCAGTTTAAGTAAATTCCCTCTCAGCTAAAGATAAACTGATATTCATTTTAAGTGCAACTAAATGTTTCTCTAAATAAACTAATTTAAATTAAACTCTAAGTTGGAGAGACATGGATTTGATGGATGGACCACTCGGTAGATAACGAATTGGCTCAATGGTTGCACTCAAAGAGTTGCAGTCAACAGCTTGATGTGCAAGTGGAGAGCAGTGACAAGTGGCATTCCTCAGGGGTCAGTGTTGGGACTGGTGCTGTTTAACATCTTTGTTGGTGACATGGACAGTGGGATTGAGTGCACCCTCAGCGAGTTCACTGATGATACCAAGCTGTGTGGTGCAGTTGACATGCTGGAGGGAAGGGATGTGATCCAGAGGGACCTACACAGGCTAGAGTGGTGGGCCCTTACAAACCTCATGAAGTTCAGCAAGGCCAAGTGCAAGGTCCTGCACATGGATTGGGGCAATTCCAAGCACAGAGATGGTCTGGGTAAAGAATGGATTGAGAGCAGCCCTGCGGAGAAGGACTTGGGGATGTTAGTGGATGGAAAAATATGAGCCAGCAATGTGTGCTCACAGCCCCAAAATCCAACCATGTTCTGGGAAGCATCAAGAGAAGTGTGGCAGCAGGACGAGGGAGGTGATTCTTACCCTGTGCTCCACTCTCATGAGACCCCACTTGGAGTACTGTGTCCAGCTCTGGGGCCCCCAACATAAGAAGGACATGGACCTGCTCGAGTGAGTCCAGAGGATGCCATGAAGATGATCAGAAGGCACCTCCCTTGTGAGGACAGGCTGATAGAGTTGGGGTTGTTCAGCCTGGAGAAGAAGGCTCTGGGGAGACCTTATAGCAGCCTTTCAGTATTTAAAGGGGGCCTACAGGAAAGATGGGGAGAGACTCTTTATCAGGGAGTATAGTGACAGGGTGAGAGGTAATGTCTTTAAATGGAAAGAGGGTAGATTTAGATTATATATAAAAAAGAATTTCTTTACTGTGAGGGTGGTGAGGCACTGGAACAGGTTGCCCAGAGAAGCTGTGGCTGCCCCCTCCCTGGAAGTGTTCAAGGTCAGGTTGAATGGGCCTTTGAGCAACCTGGTCTAGTGGAAGGTGTCCCTGCCCATGGCAGGGGGGTTGGAAGTAGATGATCTTTAAGTTCCCTTCCAACTCAACTATTCTATGATTCATTCTTACTTTCCATCAAAAAAGTTTTCCCTTTCAGATCCTGCACACCTAGAGAGCAGATGTCCTCATGGTGGATTAATATCCAATGAAAGAACAAGTGTTTTGCAAAGTTCACTAATGATTCCATGGAACATACATATACCATGCTGATAAATATTTGCACAAGTCACACACATAACTAAAGCTCATATACGTTAGAAATAAAATTTTTAGCTTAAATAGCTTTGAGGCCTACTAAGAAAAGTTGGAAAACTCTCACTAACTTCTGCAGCCTTCAGATTAAATCAAAGCAAATCAAGATTCAAAGCACTTAATCAAGTAAAGCATTGAAGTGTATCCTTAGTTTTAGCCATGTGGGTAGTTCCATTGTCTCCGGTGGAGCCACTCCTTGTTCACATGCAC